GGTAGATGGACATAATACCTTCATTTTTATTTATTTTTTGTGTGTGCAGAGGATTGAACCATGCCTCATGATTGCTAGTGCTCTACCACTGAGCTACAATCCCAGCCCTAATTAGTTGCTTTTTAATTCTAAAAATCTTGAGTAAATTTTTTGATAATCTCTTAAGTGTTCACAAGACTGGTTTTCTGGGACTCTGAGCTACTCTGATTTAGTAGTCAGTGTTGGATGAATCAGACCAGTAGAGGTCATTGCATCTCTAGTGCTTGGTTTCTTTAAAAGTGCCTCAGACTTAGATGTGAAGTATATAAATGCCTTAATTCTTGCCAAAGCAGCAGGAAGGAATGGGAAGACAAGTGGAATTTTAGAGTTATAGCAGGGTTCAAATCTTAGTCTTGCTGTTTACTGGATGTTGACTTTGGATAAGCCCTCTTATATGTAAATAGAGACTAAAAGTGCTACTTTCAGAGATTTTGTGGGGCACACATTAGGAATATGAAGAATTAGCAAAGCATTTGGTACACAGTGAACATGCAATATGTCTGTCTTCTTCCAGAATACCCAAGGATATTCTGTGTAACACAATTTCCAAATCATGTGAACCTACTCGTAGTCATTTGTGCCCAGTGATTTGTCTCTTTTCTCTTTATATGTGAACTAGGGACAATCATTATCTCAAAAGGTATAGATTATGACCTATTTTAAATACATCATTTTGATTCATGAGTGGATATGGCAAATAAAATCAATAACACTAACTTTGTATATTGACCCACATCTTTCAAAAGGGTGTTTTTCCTCAAAATGTCCTTGAGAGTAGGGGGAAGAGGTGGTATCATCACTGCTTACAGACAGAGGCTAGCTGAAGTCTAGAGAGGTTTGCCTGATGTCATTCCTTTCTATCAGAACTAGGATAATTACCCAGGCCACTGCTTCCCTGGCTTAAGAAAATGTCCTTTGTCTGTCTCACAGGATGTAGACCTGGTTGTACTGAGTCCTTTGACACCTCTCCTAAAACTATTCCAGCTGTGAAGCTGAGGGGCCCTCAGAGCCTGGACTGGAGACCGGTTTAAATAACCCTGTAAAATAAGCCTCCTGGCATATCAGGCATTCAGTCAGCATTTTCAGTTTACCAAAAATGTAAATCATCTTAACAATAATCACATTGAAGCAGTATCTGCAGCCAGTAGTGCTTGAAGATAAAAAGGCAAAGGACCTGGAGCTGAGGTTGTGGCTCAGCGGTAGAGTGCTCGCCTAGCACATGTGAAGTGCTGGGTTCGATGTTCAGCACCACATAAAAATAAAATAAAGGTATTGTGTCCAACTGCAACTAAATATATATATATTTTGAGAGAGAGAGAGAGAAAGAGAGAGTATTTTAATATTTATTTTTTTAGTTTTCGGCGGACACAACATCTTTGTTTGTATGTGGTGCTGAGGATCGAACCCGGGCCGCACGCACGCCAGGCAAGCGCGCTACCACATGAGCCACATCCCCAGCCCTTTTTTTTTTTTTTTAAAAGGAAAAGGACCTATAATCTACCTTCATGTGGGTAGAGACTTATAGTCTACCTTCATTCTTACATTGATTCAAAGCATTAAAAGAACAGCCTTTCAGACTAGACTCCCAGTTGAAAGGCAGAGATCTATTAAACAGCAGATTTATTAGGATGTTGAAATAGAAATCTTTGCATTTTTGATCTGATGATTCTAAATATACAAGCAGTTTTTGCCATTTTGGAAGGTCAACATTTCTTGTTTTGGCACAAAATAATACTGAGGAAACACAGACAACTTCTCTTAAATTAGTTCTACTTCGGTGCTTATATAAAGAAATTTTCCAGGGCCAGGGATATAGCAGTGGTAGACAGCTTGACTGGCCAGTGCTGGGCCCTGGATTCTGGTACTACAAAAATAAAATAATAAAAACAAAGCAAATAAACAAAAAATTAAAAAAAAAAATTCTTCCAAACCTGAGCAAAGGATTCAGTCATTCTGACCGCAGAGGGGTCAGCCTTCTTTGATGGTGACTCTCTCCTCCATTGCCAAACAGGCATTTTATCAGATTTATCTGGCTTGGGCCTAAATGAGCTATCCAGACAATCATCAGAAAAGGTCCATATTTTTTGGACAATCACTGGGGCATGCCTAACATGCTGACTCTGCAGCATGTCCCTTTAAGAGAATGTGGCAAGTCCTTAGAAGAAGCTAATGCAAGTTGTTAGCCAAGCCTGATAAAAAAGCTTTTTCTAGCTAAGGTGATAAACATTGCCACGTTAATCTACAGATGAAAGGATGCCGCCTTAATGATATTATTTAAGCTGTTTTACCCTAAGTGCTTCAGCACAACAGGAACAGCAGTTGATTTAGTTCCTTCACCATCAGAAAGCATCTTAAACTGGCTACCAGGGACTAGTGATGGAGCTGATGGGAGGGCACATTCCAATTGGATTTGATGTTTCCTCTTGGGAACTGAAGAAATAAGACCTTGAATTCACCACCAGTTAATCAACATCCACTGTGTTCTGTGCCAGCCCTCTGCTACAGATTCAGAAATAGAAGATGGCTTCTCTTAGGATGTTGTCTAGGATAGGAGACAAAAATGGGAACCAACACAAAACCATTTAAAGGTAGTATTTTATAAGTCTACAAGGAATAGTAGGGATCCACAGAAGCAATAGCAATCTTTTTTCTAGAGAGGACTGTTTACATTGATTCTTTGATAAGTAAATAAGAATGTAAAGCTGAGAAGGTATAGTGTGTCAAATCCTGGGCAGAGTTCAGACAGATACACACATTTTAAGATTTAATCCCTGTGCTCAGAGATCTCAATCTTGTCTGAGAGGACAAGGACAAACCCTCAACTGTTTGTTGAATGAATGCATGAAAGTAATACTCTCATAGAAGCTTGTGCAGTTTCTCTGGGAACACAGAGCAACTAATCTACTTGGAAGGAGAGAAGCCATGCCATTTGTGTTGGTCTTTGACAGATAAAGAGGAATTTGTCTAGCTAAGAAGGAAGGAGCAGGCATTTCAGGCATAAACTTATGAGGAAACCCATTGATGTCCACTGAGGGAATAACAAGTGTTCTTAGGTGGCTAGAACTGAGGTTTATGGCTGTGAATGCCTGAAACTAAATCTAGAGAGAAGTTGGATGGAGGCAGGTTGCCCCACCCTTGTGAGCTATGTTGAGTTCCTAGACCATATTCTGCAAGGAAGTATAGCCATTCCTGGTACAGGCTTCATAGTGGGATGGGGGAAGTCATTTGTGTGGCTATCTGTTACCATGTCCAGCACTGTTCTGATACTCTGTGAATACAAAGAACTAAGTCCTTGCCTTCATTAAGTTTACATTCTAGTTGAGTAAAAAGATTAAATAAATAAATAATAAAACAAGCAAAAAAAAAAATAAAACAAACCCAACATTTTATGTCAGATACAAGAAAAATTACAGTAGGGTCACAGGACAGTAATGGGAAATTAGATATAAGGTCAGGAAAGATTCTCTGAAGTGTTATATGAGGAAAGAACTGAATGAAATGTGGAAACATAAATGCACCAAATTGCTTTCACTAATGACTTAGGAAATGAATTCTAATTTCGGCTTTAGCCTTTTCTACTTGGATGGCCTGGAAAACTTGTTTTAAGCTCATAGAGCACCAATATAATTATTGAGATGCTCAATAAATGTTAGGTGACTAGAGTAGTTACCAAATTATATTTGAATAAGTGCTTCTTCTTTTTTCAATATTAGAACCTAAGTTCATGTTACAGGCTTTAGAATGCCTTTTGTCATGCTAACCTAGATAAAGAGCTTCTTTTCTCTGAAAACACCTCTCCAACACTTATACTGACCCCTTATAGAGTTATGATGTCTACATTTTTATACCAAGGGGAGTATTTGGCTGTATTCAGCTTAAATTCAAATCTGAAAGTTCTTCCAAATGGTAGTAACAGATGTATATATATCATTTACTGGGTGCCTATGTCAGTGATGGAAGATACTTTGTAGATATTCAAGCAGCTTTATAGGATACTACTCACCACTGTACCACCAGGGCCCAGCACAATGCTTGCTACATAATAGATCTTATATAAATATTTGAATAAATGAGTCTCAGAAAAGTTAGGAAATATCTCCAATGTCACAGAAACAACCTGTAGCAGAAAAGAAACTGAGCTACGCATGTCTGACAAAAAGGTTTTAGCCATGTCACCCAAAATACAAGCCATTCCCTCAAAGACTAATCTTACAAAGCCTCGAGTAGGTAGACAAGAACAAGCCTCCAAATATCGAAGTAAGAGGGAGAAACCAATTCCAAGATCCAAGTGGCAGACCTTAAGGGCAGAATTTCAGACACATGATGGTCATAAAGCGATAACCAAACACATAAACAGTAAGCTGTTGTAAGTCTGTGTATCAACAACACAACCAGATCAGCAAAGAATCAGTGCAACATAGAATGCTTTAAAAATGATTGGCATAACTCAGGTTATGAAATAAGTCCTTGAGGAAGAGAAAGTAAAAACTCACATTAAAGTGCATAAAGTTAGGGCTTGGGGATATAGTTCAGTTGGTAGAGTGCTTGCCTTGCATGCACAAGGCCCTGGGTTCAATCCCCAGCGACACACACACACACACACACACACACACACACAAAGGGCATACAGTTATAGCTAAATGAATACAGATAAGTCATTCCTTACACATTATTCATCTCAAAATCTCAAGAACAGCTCTGGAGAGGAACATCATTACCCTGGGTACATATGTGATTGCACAAATGGTGTGATTCTACATCAGGTACAACCAGATTGAAATGTTGTGCTCTATTTGTGTACAATGAATTGAAATGCATTCTGCTGTCGTGTATAATTAATTACAACAAAAAGAAAAAAGGCAGATCTAGATATTGTTATAAGTATTTGCCTGGATTAGATGGTCCTACTGATTATCATAGCTCAGAGTAATGCACAAATTAAGATAAGCAGACCATTGGGAGAACATTTAAATGGGATTTATTGGGGGGGGGAGCAATACAGTCTTTATAGAATTACTGATAATAAAAATTTTGTGAAGAACTTAGGTAAGCACTCAGTATATGGTTGATAATTATATAATAAATGTCAGTTTTCCTCCTTACTCAGCAATTTCTACTACTTCTAATTTTTATTATAAATAACAATGGACATTTGTGTACAAGTTTTTATGTGGACATTTTCTTTTTGCCTTGGGTATATGCCTAGGAGAATTGCATAGTAACTCTACATGTAACTATTTGAGTGAACATCAGACTTTTTCCAAAGTGGCTATCCCATTTTACACTACTGCTGGATTATAAAGGTACCAATTTCTCCATTGCCTTCATCCTTATTTTTTATATTTTAGCCATTCTATTGGATGTGAGGCAATAACAAGTTATGGTTTTGATTTGCATTTTGGTAGCTAATAATGTCAAGAATTTTTTCATGTGCTGATAATTTGTATATCTTCTTTGGAGAAATGTGTACTCTGCTCATTTTTAAGTTATCTTTTGTTATTGATTTGCAAGAATTCTTTATACAAGTCCCTTAGCACAGGATTTTCAAATATTTTTTTCCCATTTCACGGGTTGTCTCTTCACATTTTTCTTCTTCAGTGATGGGTATTGAATCTAGGGCCTTGTGCATACTAGACAAACACTCTACCACTGGGCTGCATCTTCAGCTCTCTTTACTTAGTTTGAGACAAGATCTCACTAAGTTGCCCAGGCTGGACCCAAATTTGTAATCCTCTGCCTCACCCTCCTGAGTGGTGGTATGACAGGCGTGCACCACCATGGCAGCTCTCTTCATTCTCTTAATGCTGTCCTTCATAACACAAGTTTTGATGATGTCTACTTTATCTTTCTTTTGTGGTGTCATATCTAAGAAGCCCTTGCCTAAACCAAAGCCCTGAAGATTTATACCTATTTCCTCCTAAGAGTTTTATAGTTTTACTTCCTATATTCAAGGATTTGATCCACTTTACAGTAATTTTTAAGCAATATATAACATGAAATAGGGATTAAGCTTCATTTTCATATAAATATCCAATATTCTCAACAGCATCTACTGAAAGACTATTGTTTCCCCATTGAACTCTCTTGACTCTGGTTGAAAATCAATTTATCATAAATGTGAGGGCATATTTCTAGATTCTTGATTCTATCCCATTGATCTATACTGACCCACATGTCTATCTTTATGTTAGTACAATATTTTTTTCATTAACAAAGTTTTGTAGTAAGTTTTGAAATCAGTGAGTCCTCCAATTTTCTGTTCAAAATTGGCTGTTCAGAGTCTCTAGAATTTCCATGATGCTAGAATGAGTTGCTAGGTTCTCCTACAAAAGCAATCCAGCCAGCCAGCCAGTCAGAAAACAAGCCTGCCAGAATTGATGGGTTGTACTGAATCTGATCAGTTTGAATAGTGTTGCCATTTTAAGTCTTCTGATTCATGAACATGAGATCTCCATTTATTAATTTCCTTTACAATACTTGTTACTTTTAGAATGTTTTTCCATTTGTTTTGTTAAATTTATTCCAAGGTGTTTTCTTCTTTTTGATGCTACTGTAAATGGAACTTTTTTCTTAATTTTCATTTAGAGAAATTTCATTTCTATTTTTATACTGTGAGTACACAGAAAAATAATTGATTTTTGCTGATCTGTATACTTCAACCTTGAGCTCATCAGTTTTAACAGATTTTTAATGGATTCCTTAGGAGTTTTCAATATACATTTGAAATATACATTCAATATATATTTTTCAATATTGTCATTTGCAAATAGAAGCAGTTTCACTATTTCTTTTCAAATCTGGATGCTCTCTAGAATTTTTCAGTACTAGATAAATTTATGAAAAACTTAATATGTGGATGTATTCAAATTAATAGGGCATAGATTAATTTTTAAAACAAAAGTAAGGGAAAGAAAAGTGCTATAGAAGAGAAAAAGCAGAAAACTCAATGAAATAGAAAGCAAGGAAACTGATTCCCACAGCACTACTACAGTATTAACTAGCTGTTTTGCATTCTTAATGAGGTAATAATCCTCTTAATGAGTTTATAATCCTCTTTTGGTTACACAAGGGATTTTCAAAATCTTTTTCCACTTGATATACCATGAACTTTGGGGAATAAGGATAAATTTCCTTAGTTTATTCAACCATTACAACCATGATTTTACTACATATTAACCATCCTCTCTCCTTTATCCCTCACAAAGGAGAAAAAGGTTACCACAAGTAAAAGAGGACACTAAAGTATCTTCACATTGAGAGAAAATGTAACTATCAGGTAAGTATAGTCGATAACATTACAAGATATTTATAAAAAGTTACCCTCTTGGGAACAAGCTGGAATATAAATAAATGCTTCAGTGGCTTGTGGAAGAAAAAGTAAAAATCAACAAATGAACAAAGCATTTACTCTGTCAAATAATGCACTATTTAAAACTATAAGAACAATATGGATATTTTTTAAAAACAATAAAAATGTGTTCTAAAAATATATATTATCTGAAATTTTATCACAGAAAGTCATTTTTAAAACCCAAATTTTAGATTCCACTTTTTAATTATAATTTTGATTAAAATGGCAGAAACTTTTCACAATATATAAAAATTAAATTTTTCTACTAAACAATAACTATCTACCCTCCCTCAGCTTTGCTTATATTGATAGTAGTATAATAATAAATTATACTGAAGTATCTTATCTTTCATGTATTCTGGAATCTTACTTTTAATCTCTGGGATAAAGGAAGAGGACTATCCAAATAAGTACCAGGCTCCATGTCTTTCTTATGACTTTGTAGACAACTCTCAGAACTTTTTGCTATATCTGGAAAACATTTTTCTTCATTTCCGGTTGTTTTATAAGACTTGACAAACAGTTCAGTTTCTTTAACATGTATCTTAGGGTTACTCAATTTGCTGTGGTTGTGTCCTTTGAAGTGGGCTGGGCTATGGTTCTGAGAACTGTAACACATTTTTTGAGTTGTGCACTTAGCTTTCCCAAATGTTGGGGTACTTTCTTCGTCAGAGGAATGTCTGTCAAAGAAAACACTATTCTTCATGACGATTTTTTGAATGCGTTGCCTATCAATTTTTCTACTACGATCTAAAGCAGGATGTAGTGGTCCAATTCTAATATCAGAGGTCTTTACTACTGGATTATTGACAGGATAAGGTATGGAAGTACTAACTTTATAGTTTTCTTGATGTAGCTGGTCTCCTTTTAGGAAATGAGACTTTCTAGATTCATTTTGCAAATTAATTTCTGGAAGATCTTTTGAAAGATGCAACAGACAATCAGAACTACTGTTATCAATACAAGATTCTTTGTCCCTTGTTAGGGACACAGTTTTCAGATGAATATCTGGTTGTATATTATCCTGAGGATATGATGATTTTATTTGTATTCGTTTCTTTAAAGGCAAATCCTGAAGATGTAAATCACTAATGCCAGAAAGCAGATGCTCTTCAGGACTAATCTTTTGAAGATTCCCATGCAACACTTTATTGATGTTTGTGGTACACCATTCTGATTCATATGACAACTGTTCTGGGATATTTCCAAAGTCTTCAGGGATGGCTGATAGGTCTGATTCAAGTTCTGATTGTTGTAAAACATGAGAGAGAGGGTTTATTTGAATAGCTGAAGAATTACTAAAAGAAGTATCTTCCCAGTCAATGGTACTCAAGTGTAGGTCAGTAATTGCAGATATATTATAGGATGAAGTATTAGGCTGATTAGATTCTGAAATTAGAGACTTACTGACATCTTTAATATCCTGTATAGTCAAAGGTCTTGAAGAAGACATTTGCTGTTGTGTACTCAAATAAGGAGCATTTTCAGGTAAAAGCAAGCCATTGGATAAGGCAGAAATAGATTTCTGTGGTAATGGAGGATCAGGAGAAATTTCCAAATTTAACTTGGCATTCTGCTTAAGAAAGATTTCACATGTGGGGTTTAAAGTCTTAAATGACTGAAAACTCATTACATCATCTGATTCTGGTGAACTGTTTCCTTTAGGTTTAATTTTCATATCTGAAAAAGAAAAAAAATATAATAAACAAGTATTTTCTTTTCCTTAACTTGGGCAAAAATACATAGTTCAGATCAGAAATCTTCTATATGAGCTGTTTTTTGCCTTTTCTCTTTTTCTTTATTCATTCCTAAAAATATTATAAAATATTTTCTTCTGGAAAAAAGTTATAATTGAGTTGTTTTTCTTAATGAGGTTTAAGAAATAGTAAAAAAATATATTAATAACCCCAAATGTTATAGTTAGATGCTCTGAATTCAGTTAGTATAATTATTAATACCTGGTTAAGTTAGTAGACACAGAAGAGAATGGTGTACTTCTGGTTTTTCAACTTTAAAAAAAAGTATATGAAGTTAAAGAGAAAAAGTATCATTCTTTCTTTTGATTTTATAGAACTTCCAACAAAATTTAGACAAGACATATTCAAATAGAATAGGTGGTTCTTATCTAACAGGAGTGTGTGGTATATACAGTTATCCAACACAGTACTTACTTTTTTTTGGTTTCTTCCCTTTAATTTCTAATTTTTGTTTTTGGTAGTCAGCTACAATCTCAGGATAGGCTGCTGTAAACAATGATTCTTCTTCGATTGTAAGTAGAAGCAATTCTCCATGTTGTTGTTCTTCTAAAACATAATGTTCTAAAAGATTAAAAATGCAGTAAAGCAGCCTTAATTATAGATTTGAAAAATCATTTTTCCCAGGTAACAAAGTATACCCCAGATTGACAATTTATCAGAAATCTTGCTTTATAAGATCTCTATTCTAATAGTATAGAATTTATTTATTTATTTTTGGTCTGGAAAAAACTGAAAGGAGATTCCTCTGAAATTAGAAGTTGAAAATTTTTTTGCTTCAGAGATGGTAGCAGCAGTTTAAAGAATAAAAAACTTTTGGGCTGGGATGGAATTCAGTGGTGGAGTGCTTACCTAGCATGTACACAGTCCTGGATTCAATCCCCAGTACCGGGAAGGAAAGAAAAAAAGAAAATAAGAGAACTTCAAGTTGGTTGGCTGGTTGGTTCTAATTTCTCCTAGTAATTGTTAAAATTCTGGATAAGAAATGGAATAGACAGTTTTCTATGACTTTAAAATTATTTTTCTTTAAAAGAGATGGCTTCTGAACAGAACAGAATTGAAAAGGTCATCAAAAATATTATTATGTCAGAGGTTATCTCTTCCTCTCTTTTGAAGTGCTAGGCATTGAACCCAGGACCTAACATTGCTAAACTAGTATTCTACCATTGACCTATACCCCAGGTCCCGTTATAAATTTCTTGAGGATATTCCCAAGCAGTTGATAATTCCCAAGAAGATGACAAATGAAAATGCATATATGTAAATTCATGATGTGATATAAAAATAGTAGACTAGATTCCCATGTTTATTCTATATGTGGGCAAAACTACATGCAAAGCCAAATTATAATGAAAACATCTATAACTTTATAGCAGAAGCAAAGGAAACAGGAGATCTTAAGGTGTTTCTTGTTTAAAATCAGCTTGTAGTCCACTTCTTCCCTCAGGAATAGCTCCCTCAAGGACAAATAAAAGTTACCTGTTCCTCAGTTCCAGATAGGAGAGATGCACTGCTAAACTGGGCTAATATTTTCTTTCCTGAAAATACATTAGTTGGTAGAACTGTTCCTACATAATTTCCAAATTCCTTAGCCTTCAATTTTCTTACTATTGCTTAGAATAGTTACCTATTTCTTTTTCTTTTCTTTCGGTACCAGGGGTTGAACTCAGGGGCACTCAACCACTGAATCACATCCCCAGCCCTTTTTGTATTTTATTTAGAGACAGGATGTCTCACTGAGTTGCTTAGGTTCACGCTACATTGCTGAGGCTGATTTTGAACTCAAGATCCTCCTGCCTCAACCTCCCGAGCTGAGATTATAGGTATGTGCCACTGTACCCAGCTCTAGTTACCTAGTTCTTTATATAATTTTATTTTTCAAAGTTTCCTACAGCTTAAACTTTAATTCATGCAAATATAATCACACAATCTAATTTCAAGAGCAAATAGATATAAACTTGGGATCATTTTCTATTTTAAATTATGTGTACTTTACTTGTCTCTGAAGATAATTCAGAACTCACAAAATTTCTGTGTGTGGCAAAAATAAGAGTAATGTGACAATTATAAATTCTCATAAAACTAAACAGAATAATGGAAAGGAAGGGTACCCTGTGACTATTCAGCAATTTCAACTGTTTTAGAACTAGTTATATTTAAAATCCAATGATTGGAACTTTTGTAGAATAATTTTTTAAAGAATACATTGATATTATTTTCTTAAACATTACAAAATAAATACCAACTAAAAATCACTTGAAGTTTATCATATTATTAATCAAAGTCTATTTAAAATAATACAAGTAAATCAGTTTACACAAATAAACTAAAAAATTAATGTATGGTACATGCTTTATATGTATCTTATGTTATATGTAGTTACACACACACACTTACTACACATGTATGGTCAAATATTTTACGTTAAAACATTTTTCTTATATTGAATACCTACCAGGCTTTTCCCATTCTACTTGAAAACAATGAACTCCATTTCTGATTCGAGGTTTAACAATTCTGAAAAATAAATTCATCTAATGAAGTCTAATTGTATGTGTCATAGAAATTTTCAATTTACAGACAGAATAATTCAATTGCTATTGATTTTTATTCTAAGTAAAAATAAGAAATTACTGCCTAGTTATTCCTTTGAGTAGCTAAAAGAATAATTTTATATTTCGTGCACAAGATTTATAATTGTTATATTTTTCTTAGTAAACTGTTCCTTCTTTATTGGGCAGCGCTCCTTTTTTCCATGATTTTCACTTTGAAGTCTACTTTATTACATTATTTGGTAAGTATGTGCCTCATAAATCTTCTTAAATCTCTTTATTTTATACAAACTTGCTATTATTTTGTATGTTCTTAGTAAACACAGTATCCAATAAACTTGCAACAGATGAGTTTAATCCACTCACATTTATTGTGATTACTGATTAAATTGGATGCATTCATAAATGTTATTTTGTGTTTTCTGTTACCAGCTTGTTCTTTGCTACTTCCTCCTTCTTATATGATTTTGGTTTGATACTTTTATTTTCTTATTTTAATTTTGTTGGTAAGGATGACCAAGATTATACTTCTTGTGGTTACTCTTTATATGTCTGAAAATACCTTTTCTGTGGAAAATGTTTTAATAATTTCTAGGTGACCAATTACGTCACTCAGTAATGAATATAAATATAAATAAAATATTTCACTTTGAAATATTAGTCCATCATTTCCTATCAGCATCTATTACTGTTATGAAAGGTATGTGCTATCAGATTGTCATTCCTTTGCCTTTTGTCATTTTTGATACTTCCCCCCAAACTTTTTATTTTGAAAAGTTTCAAAACATTAGAAAAGTTACAATAGTACAATGAATATTAACACGTTTATTGAAACTCGCCAGTCTTAATATTTTGCCAAATTTGTTTTTTCCCGTTTGAAAATTAGTTGCATACATGCCTTAGAACATCACCCCTACAAAGCCCAAATATGTGAAGATTTCTTCTCCCTAGCCACAAAGCAAGCTTCAGAAAATTAGTACTATTATACAGTTCATTTTGATTTTCCCTCTCTGTACTTAAAAATGTACTTTGTAGCTTCAAGAAAACTCAGAATCCAGTCAGGATCACAATATTTTGCTTATATTTTCATATCTCTTTAATCTAGAAAAACTTTATAGCTTTAAAATTTTTATTATATTCATAAAGAAGAGTCCAGAATGGCAGTTCTGTGAAGTGTTCCTCACTTTGGATTCATTAGACTGTATTTTTCCTCATTAGATTGAGATGAAACTTCTTTTGGCTAAAACATTACATAGAACTGGGGCTATAGCTCATTGGTTAAGCACTTGCCTAGAATGCATGAGGTCCTGCATTCAATTACCAGCACTGCCAAAAAATCAAAAATAAATAAGCACACACACACACAGAGACACACACTCACATACATGCAGATGATATGATATCTTTATTAGTAGTCATTACTAACTTAATTAAGCTGATCTCTACTTCTGAAGGTACCATTTTTCCTTTGTAATTAATCTATGGAATGTCAGTTGAAATCATACTTTTTTCCCAGCAATCTTTCATCAGTGTCTTCAATATTTGTTGATGATTCTTTCTTGACTTGTTTATTAGCACTTTTTAAGACATTCCTTTTATGCTCAATATCTAGATATGCTGGGTACAATATGCTGGATTTATTTATTGTACTTGGAATATAAATTTTAGAAAACTTTATCAAATGTTATCTCTTCAAAAACTACTTTTCAGCCGGGGACAGTGGCACATGCCTGTAATCCTAGTGGCTCTGGAGGCTGAGGCAAGATGATTGCAAGTTCAAAGCCAGCCTCAGCAATGGAGAGGTGCTAAGCAACTCAGTGAGACCGTATCTCTAAATAAAATAAAATAGGTCTAGGGATGTGGCTCAGTGATTGAGTACCTGAGTTCAATTCCTAGTACCAAACAAACAAAAACTACTACTACTTTTCCTCCTAGTTGGTTCTAGAAAACAGGTAGAAATTCTCAAAGTATTCTCAAGTTAAACTTAAATATTTTTCATTAGTGTTAAGTTGTCTTCTGTGTGACTTGATTAGTAGTCTTCTAATACTCCAATTCTCTGTGATCAAATTAAGCCTAGAGTCCCATGTTTAAATGACTTTTTCTTAAGACTTTATCTCTAATTTTTAAGACTTCTAGAAGTTCACTTTTTATATCCATTTATTTAAAATCATTTCTATCTACTTCGTTTTGTAATTTCACCTTTTCGTCTTCTTACGGAAATATCCTTCATTTCCTTGAGACTTCCTAGTATTCAGAAAGGCCAATAAATTCAAAATAAAAAATAAAATAAAAACCATCAGTGTTAACTATTTAATAAAACTGACTTGGAGTGAATTCATGATGCAATTGTTTTTAAAAACTATTTTATTTCTTTATCTACAATGCATTTTTCTTTAATTCTCTCATATTTTATCTCTGTTCTCACTTCTACTTCTCCATTTCTTGCTGAGTATTTTTCAGCAGCAATTCCAGCCTAGTTACTGGGTTTTAAGAAACAAATCTGACCCTATCAGGCCTTGGTTTTAGTCCCTTATTCCCTCTATACTTTTGTTTCTTTCCTAGTCTACTGAAATTGTTATCTTGTTAAGTCTAGCTCTTTTTATATTTATTTCTTTTGATAACCTATTATTACTGTCTTTGAAGTAGGAGAATATGTCAAAGCATGATTTGACTGTGTTGTCTAAACTAAAAGCTCTGAATATGCTTTTCATGTCCCAGGAGGTTTTTCCTCCACCTTTGCAAAGTAAAGAGCTACATATCCCACTTTTAGAGATATTAAGAATAGTTTAGATCATCACATATTCTAATGGAAACAAGGAGTCTTCATCACATAATTCTTAAGCTACATTACCGTATTGGCTGTAATTGTTTAGAGTTCCTTCTACCAAGTTTTCTTTCTTTCATGTCATAGCGGGTCAAAAGTACCAACAATTTCTCACATGCATAGGGATTGGGCCATTCCATTTTTTCAAGGGTAAATCTCTGTAAATATGATAAAAATAAGACAAGACTTTAAAAATTTCTTGGAAACAAATAATACTCTTAGGTGTTACCATTTTTTCCATTATAATTTAAATTAAAATTAATGAGAGTATTACTAGAAAGAACAATGAGCCTTCTAAGGAGGAAGCACTGGACAATGATGAAGTTCTAAGATTCTTGGTCTGAATGCCAGCATACTTCCTAGACTTTGGGTTAGGTAACTTAACCCATCTAATGGTTAGTTTACTCTGTGAAATGGAGACAATATAACCTAACTCACAGATTATGAAGATTGAGAATATATGTAAATTATTAAATGCAATAGTAAATTTTAAGTGGTCACTAAATGTTGGCTGCAATTATTAATATGGTTATTGAAAGGGGCAAGTAGCAAATAGTTACAATTTATTGAGCCATTTCTGTGCCCAGAGCCGCTATACTAAGGGATAATAAACATAATCTCATTTAATACTTATGGTAACAAGTAATGTTATTTTTGTTTTGAGGATAATGCATATTCCAGGTCACATAGTGATGACAGACTGTTCAAATTTATATCTAGATCACAGATTTCAAATCTCAATCCTTTTGTAACTTATATTGCCTTCCACAATCATGCATGTGATCCTGACATTCTTTGGTGGAAGCCCCCTCCCCACAAACATAGTCCCGGATACAATATGGATATATGGTAACTGGATATATGGTAATTAAGACATTTTCAAAAAAATAGCATTATTGTGATTTCTCTTATGGTATAGAAAGTATGTCCACTGTGTGGCAAAGGAGTAAAGGATAAAAGTAAATACTAAAAAATATATGAATAGTCAATAACTATCTGTTTTCATTTTTAAACCTCTTGAATAAATTCATTACTAACTTTGTACTATAAAGTAATAATTCATTTTAGGGTACCTGGAACAATAATAAATCAGGTCTTTGGTACCTGATTACCTTCATCAATTTATCTTTGTTCACAAGGAATTCTTGAATAACCTACGAGGGGGGAAAAAAAAAAGGAATTGGGACCATGAAACTTAAAAAGTTCATGAAATGAATATACAATTGAATTATTGGTTACCTCATGAAATGGGAATCCCTCACAACTGCAAGCTTTCCTGAAAATAAATTATATACATTATTACTATAATCAGACAATTATTGACAGAATCTGAAATGATCTTGTCCAATCTCCTGTCTTTTAAAGAAAAATATTACATGTAGTTCTTAAACATTCATCAAGTTTATAGCTGAATAACAACTATCTCCTAAGATGGCTGATTTTTGGAGTGGAATCAAGAAAAGTATATGTATGACTAATCTAGATGTGGGAGGTTATGTGAAAAGAGTTCAATCACAAGTCTATATACAGCTCATGATAGGAAAAAAAAAGTCTTAAAAAAAATACCTCTTAATAATGTTCTCTACTCCATTTAGTTGCCTATCGTGTTCTGTCTGGTGCCATTCACAAGGACAGGAGTATTCATAGTCATGCGGTTCACAGTATCTATCACTTTTACATAATTTGCATCCATTACGTTCATGATCCTTAGGTGAGCCTTTATGGAGAAAGTGTATATATATATATATATATATATATATATATATATATACAAGAAAGTATAATTTTCAGTGCTTATGAATTACTTTCTATTACATTTTTTTCATTATCTAAACTTTCAAAAATTGGTACTGCCTAGCATAGGTTTTAGTAAATTTGAGTTGAATAGAGTAAAATTTGAGTTGAACAGAGTAAAAACTTTCTGGTTTATGTAGTAGCTATAGAAAAGCATAATGCAATTATTACCAAAATGATGATTTATTTAATAGAATGATTAATGGGTTAATAATTAATAATAGGGTTTCTTTGATTAGCATATTAAAAGCATATGCCAGTTAATTACCTCTGTCAGCGCGTAGCTCTCAGTTACACAGTTATTTTTAAACTAGGCTTGAAACATAAATAGATTATGACTACAACATAGGCGTGGGGCCCAAGTTTCCTTAAACAGGAAAAGTGTGGTTACCTTCAACATTGTTTTGAGAGTATAGAAGAGCATGTATATATACTTAATTTGAGTTACAGTTGTCATTTATAAAATATCAAGAAATTACAGAATATCATATTATTTGTAAAAACATTTATATTCTTCTATGATTTAATTTATAAATTAACAAAGTCAGTGAAAACTTACACTGAGATGAGCTAATAGGATCTCCTAATCTCGTTTGGGAGTGAAAGGCCTTTCTGACACAGCTGTGCTCAGTGATATATACATATTTTTTTTCTTTCCCTCCTCCTCCTCCTTTTTTTTTTAAAAAAAAAACAAAACACAACTAAGACTAATGGAGATCCAAGTTATTTTCAATAAGAGTGACTATATATAGAAATTAGTTTGAAGTCATTATCTTTACACATAGTAAAAGTGCATTATGGGACAATAAATAATCATCTAAGTAAATAAATATAAATAATTACCACAGGGGGCTGGGGTAGTGGCTCAGTGGTAAAGCATTTGCCTAGCATGTGTGAGGCACTGGGTTCGATTCTCAGCACCAAATATAAATAAATAAAATAAAGATCCATTGACAACCAAAAAGTATTTAAAAAAAAAAAAAAAAACACCAAAAAGTAAAATGGTTTCAATTCCATTTTTCCCATTTTTAAAAAAAGGATTTATATATTGAAAACATGATAATTTTAAGATATAAGTAATTAGGTATCAGTTTGAAATTATACTTATTGTGTATTTATCATCTGTTCACATCATTTCATTCAACAAATATTTACTGAGAGTCTATTATCTGTGTATAACAATTTGAATCTAAGGCATTCCCAACCTAGTGGGAAAAAGCCTTCAAAGTATTATTAATAAAGGTATGAAAAAGTACAATGAGAACAGTAATGAAAGTGTGGATATCAGACTTTCATATCATGAGGATAGTCCCTCTTGTCTGCTTACCTGGATGGCAGCACACAGAGCAGTGAGCCAGTTTTTTAGCTACTCGTGGTTGCACAGCAGAATAACATGATTTTTCATTCCACTGATTAAATCTGCAATAGAAATTGTTTTTTTGGGGGGGGCAGGGGTCACAAAAATGCTGTTATCAAATGTCAATTTACTCTATTTCCTTTCACCTGACAAATTATCTTCCCTTTGGTGGGAGATAAATTTGATGACCTTGCCTGGAAAAACCCTTAGTCACAAGTTTTAAATGTGGCCTTAAGAAGAGCAGAATTGCCCTCTGGATGCTGTGGTACATGCCTGTAATCCCAGCGGCATGGGGGGCTGAGGCAGGAGTATGGCGAGCTCAAAGCCAGCTGCAGGAACTTAGCAAAGCCTTAAGCAACTTAGTGAGACCCTGGCTCTAAATAATGTGTAAAAAAGGACTGGGGATGTGGCTTATTTGTTAAGTGTCCCTGAATTCAATTCCCAGTTAAAAAAAAAAAAAAAGCACAATTACCAAAAAGGAGAGAGTATATACCTAAATGTGGGTATTGTAATCATATATTATATATTCACTCAGCATCTCTTTAGAAGGAGCTTGTTAGATAGCAATATATGGAGAGAATGATTTACATATCTTTGCTCTCTTCTCTATATGCCAGAGTTTAAAACAAACAGAATGTGTACATGAACATTTTTCTACATCAGAAATCAGAGCAAAGTGTAATATATAAACCAAATAAGAAATCTGCATTAGTTGAAATGAGCATTTCTTAATCTGTTATGCAAACAGAAAAACATTACTCATTTAATGAAAAAAATTTAAATATATATTACAGTGGAAATTTCTAATAAATAAAAGTTAATTTTGCTTTTGTCTAACATTCCATGTTAACATAAAACCACCAAAAAGCTAGGTAGTAAGCATAAAGCATTAAGTACCGTGAAATGTGTCCCTCTACTTACAGAAGTTAAGGTTTCAATAAAAAGCTAAATTACCTCTTAAGTTCTTTAGATAATATCTGGTACTTAGAATTATTTTTTAGCTGTTAGAATTTTACTCATTTACCACAAAGACAAAGTACAAGTTTGTTAAAAATTAGCATTAATCGCTTCTGGAGAAGTGATAAAGAACTAAAAATGATAGTGATAAAGTGATAAAGATATAAAAATCAAAAGTATTCAGGGAAAGCCAGCATAAATTTATGAAAATTAGAATAATAGATAATTATAAAAAGCAATATAACTTAAGTACTTTTAAGTGTTAAGAGAAACATTTATGAAACTGCCCAAAGTACGAATTTGCTGAAACTGTTTCAAGAATGCCCTGGAATTAGTCAACTAACATATTTGCTTGCTTTTCCGTCTTTTTACTATTCTTCAAAATTCCCAAATGATTCCTTCACACACCCCAATGCCAAAGTACACCTTTTCTTTCCTGTTTTGGCACAGTAATCACTGGTGTCAATAATGGGTTTGCTGAAGTCCTAGATGTATCAATAGTTTTTATGGCTAAAAAAGAAGCTTTACAGGAAAGAATACAGGAATGTGAATTATCTTTCATGGTCATTCCTTCTTTATTTCTATCACTTAGTATTTCTTTTCAGGCATTCACCACCTATCTCAACCTATTGGGGCCAAGACTGTTGAATTCTCCCTGTGTCCCAGTTCTTTTCCTCCTCATTTATTCTACAACTTAGTAGTAAACAGCCTGTAGTAAAATGTCCATGGTTATAAATAAAAGCATTTCAAATGGTACTAATAGTGTTTAGTGAGCTAATAATATATCTTTTAAACTATTTATATACTTAGGACATATATTCTCATTTCCCCTTTGGAAAGTTTTAGAATAAATAAAAATAAATTATTTTAAATGAAAACAGCAATTTAAAAATACAAAGACCCTTTTTTTGGAAGGGATAGTCCTGTTTGTGATACTATTAAATTTGACAAGAATCAAAGTCCAATGTTGCAAGAAAAAGTTATTTTTAGTTACCTCTCAAGCAAACTTTGACCTTTCAAAATCTGTATGAGTTTCAATGCTTGCTCTTTTCCAACTCCAGGGACTCCCTTTCAGAAAGGGGAACAAAAAATTCAAATGTTAATAACCAGCTAAACAAAGTGTAGTGAGTTCTTCAATGGAAGACTGTGCAGCTGAAAGAAACAAAAAGAGAACTCTGTGTAATGATAGAAAAATATGTAAGATACATTGTTACATGTGAAACCTAACTGCAAAATAATGTATGATGTAGATTTGTTAGCAATTATATTATTAGACTATTAAACAAAAAAATTGAGATGATATGCCAAACCACTAATAGTATTGTTTTAAAGTTGTAGTTGGACACAATATCTTTATTTTATTTTTATGTGGTGCTGAGGATCAAACCCAGGGCCTCACACATGCTAGGCGAGTGCTCTACTGCTGAGCCACAACCCCAGCCCTACTATTTCTTTTTTTTTTTTAAAAGGGGAGAAAAGAACATAATTTTAGAGGGCTTTCACTTTCTAAGTTAATTGTTTCAGTAATTTTTTTTTTTAACTTAACATTCTATTTGTAATCAGGAAAATTAGTTTATTTAATTATATGAACATTTAATATTTAAAGACCCAGAAACATAAAAAAGAAGAAAAGTTTGAAGTTTATTAAAAACCTCATAAAATTAAAATGTGAATTTCAAATGCACAAAAATTATACACACAAACATATTCACATCACAAGTTCTGGTTTGAATCTATTGGTTCTTGGTTCCTATCAAAGTTTATGAATATATTCCTATTAGTAAGGCTGCTATTTGTCCATTATGCACTAAGATAGAACACCAGTTTCAAAATACTTACAAACTGGTTGGTAATGACCAATACCCGAGCACCCTGAATATCTGTCTGACTGCCAACCCACCTATACCCAAGATCCAGCTACTAAAAAGCTAGTCCATGCTACAGCAGAGGCTACCTCGAAGTCAGTTCCATCTCTATAGTCTATGACTTTGGCATGCTAGTTGTTAGATATTTTGAACTTCCTATATTAAATTATGGTAGTACATTGTCTTAAAAAGAGATAGCATCTTTGTTTACAAAGGATACAGAAAGTCAAACTAGCTAAGGCTTGCTGCATATTGTAAATACCATTGTAGCTAAAGCTGGTTTCTGGGAGTTTAAAGTTTTAAGTTCAAATTTGTTGAATTCAACACTGAGCCATTTTTAGATTTTAATTATTACATATAAGAAAATAGGATCTTTTATTTAAGGAGATTTACAATAAAATAATGGTTTGTTGTATTTAAAGGTCTTTCCTTCTGCTTTCTTTTACCAGTTTAAAAAAAGTCATAGTGGCTGGGTGTGGTGGTGCATGCCTGCAATTCCAGTGGCTCAGGAGGTGGAGGCAGGAGGATTGGGAGTTCAAAACCAGCCTCAGCAATTTAGCAAAGTGCTAAGCAACTCTGTGAGAACTTGTCTCTAATAAGACACATAATAGGACTAGGGATGTGGCTCAGTGGTCAAGTGCCCAAGTTCAATCCTTGGTCCCCCCACCTTAAAAAGGTATTGATTCCTATAGATAGCCACTGAAGACATGTTAGAAGTCAAAGTTAATTATTTTATTCTCCTGTTTTTTCATTTCTCTTTGGTGCAAAAAAAAAAAAAAAAAAAAAAAAAAAGGTCATTCTTCTTCGTACTTCTTTTAGGAACAGAGGTAATATGAAGGATTTGTCAGGGTAGAGATTATTTGTAGGGATACAATGATGTGAATACATAGTACCTACAGCGCCTGTCATTTTTATTTTTAAGCACAGTATTTAAGAAAACGGGTTATTCTTATAATTCTTAATTTATCACTTACCTATATATTATATTTATTTGTTACAGAGTACCATATTATACATCCTAAGATATAAATTAAATGTTTCAGTGAACAAAACCTAGTGCAATGCTGAGTGGCATGGAAATATGAATGGCTTACCTCAATAATCATGTTGCTTAGCAACATTAATAACAATGAGCATGTGTACAACTGGAAATCTACAATGGATATTGAAAACTAAAAAAACTGACAAAAACAATGACAGAAAGTAGCATTGGCATGATATAAGAAAAGAGCAATTACTGTTTTTTTTTTTATAAGGGTAGTCAAACTTGAATGTGAATCTCTCCATCTAGAGTAATGGTTTAACTGAGATTCAAACTGTGATACCATTTATCATGCTATTATATTCTGGTTTCTAACAGTCAGTGTCATATGTCGGCTCTTTAACACTATCTGAAACCAAAGATGCTATCTCTTTATGGTGTTTGAAAGATTTTTAAGACAATGTACTACCATGGTTTAATATAGGAATGATGATGTTCAAAATATTTAACAACTATTTTAGTTATTGAATGGCTTGTTATGCCTAAATACTTCAAGTTAGATTCTTAATTATATAACTACACGTAAGGTACCAAAAAGATACACTTAAAAGTAAGTAAACATAATTTCAGCTTGCCTTTGGAAGATAGTCACAGCCAAGAAGTATTGCTAGTCCAACCAGAGCATCTCTGTCCAAACCTAGTTTACTCTTGATAGATGACATTGTGTAACAGTCAATGTGAGGATCCTAAAGAAAATAGATAAGTTCAATCTTCAAAAGGTAAATGTTTACACATTAAACAACATTACAAAAACCAATTTGTCAGTTACCTTTCTTTCTTTCTTTTTTTGGGGTTCCAATCCTTTTTATTTTGAGACAGGGTCTCACTAAGTTGCTTAAATCCTTGCTAAGTTGCAGAGGCTGGTTTTGAACTGGTAATCCTCCTGCCTTAGCCTCCCAAGCTGCTGGGATTATAGCATGTGCCACCACACCCAGTAGTTTACCTTTAAAAATTTAACTATTCCTAAAATTTAAGTAGAAAAATTATTTGGATGACCAGAATCTTCATAGACTCTGACACTTCAATAGACAGAAATAAAGTCATAGCTGTTTCAAAAACAGTTTAAAAAATAAGCCATAGTGGATTATGTTTTCCTCTTTATTGCTTTTGGTTTATAAAAATAGCGTATAATACATATTGTAGAAAATAAGCATTCCCTATAATTGTATTGCCTTAATTATTATTAGTACCTTGGTGCATATTCTTCCAAAAAACCATTTTGACACATATACGCTAACGTTTATTATTAACTGCATTTTTATGCAAAAGTAGAATTCCATGAAATACTATTTTGTAACATTTTATCTCAACAATCTTCCTGGGTATCTTTTATGTCAATAATATATATCTTTTAAATGACTGCATGACATTTGATATGGATTCTGAGGCAGTGTTTCTCAGTGGCAATACTATTAGCACTTTGGGAGGGATAACAGGATTGTTTGGCAGGAGGTTTAGCTTGCATGGCCTTTATAGGCTCCCTTGCCTAATTCTGAATCATTGCAAACAAATTGCCTACTGGCAGTATTCTCTGCTGAGGACCATGACTGTTAACAGTATTAAACCAGTCCCTTTCTATAAATGAACATTTGGGTTGTTGGCTAAATTTTTGTAATTATTAACAATGTTACAATGAACATCCTGCCTTATTTACTTATCTGCACATTTAGAGGTCATTTTGAGGATGAAATAATAAAATGGAAATGTGGGTCAAAGTGATGTATTTCGCATCTAATTCTGTGGTATTTTCTTGAAAGTGATTAAGAATTAAATCATGTGAAACAAAGTCTAGCCTTTAGTAGAAAAATCTACATTTTAAAGAAAAAGAATTATGTGGCCGTAATTTTTAAAATTTTTTGAAAATTTATTTTTAAGTTGATAAAAAGCAAAAATTGTACGTAAGTATGAGGTACTAAGAATCATTTCAATACATGTATATAATCTGTAATGTTTAAATTGAATTAATCATATGTACTTCCTCAAATTTTATCATCATTTATTTATGCCAAAAATTTTAAAACCTCTAACTCTTTGAAATGTATAGCAAAGATATTTTTAATAACAGTAAACATTTTATTTAGCAAATGCTATATGCCAGGCATTACATTAAGCATTTTACATATATTATTTCATTTAATCAGCCCTTTTAAAAAGGTAACTAACTTATAAAACAAACACTAAAGAAAGAAAACAAATACCTTTGTACTTATAGTGAAATTCCTGTAGAGAGTCTGGGCTCCATAGAGGAAAGCATCACCATCGTTGGTAAGGCAGCCATCTACCTGGCCACTGGCATTGAGGTGAGCACACATGGCTTCTGCTTCTCCAGCAGCCTGAACCCAGGGGACTCCTAGACATTCTAGCATATCTAGGCACTGAAGCAAAAAGCAGGTGCGAGAAATAAAAATATATTTTTACTGCTAGTTTCTTCAGCGTTTAATTTACTACATTACAAATACTAATAGTAGCAATTTAGGTATTTTAAAAATTAAATTGAAAAAAATGCTTGGGAATTTGAACATTGATACTTCCTCTTAAGGAACACTATAACTTTTCTAGGTGTGATAATAAAAAAATCATATTGTTACTGTTTTTTCATGTTTTAGAAGCTATCTTTTAGAAAATAGCACTGAAATACTGAGAATTACACAATATTATGGGTGGCATTTGTTTCAAAATAATGTGGGAATAAGACAGTGGGTAGAGACATAGATGACATAGACCAATTTTTAAGATTGGTGATAAGTTACTTTTGTCTTAATTTAAGATATTTTTGTGATAAAAATTAAGATTTTTTAATGTCAATTACAAAGTAATATGTATTTGTCTTTTGTTCAATGCTATCTTCAAATTCTGAAAATATTTTTGAATAAAAACGGATCACATGAAGATTCACACACGTAAACTATAGAACTATAATAACTTTTCTCACATGATAGTCAAACCAATATGAGCTTTAGTTTTTTTGGTGGTGTTGGGGATTGAACCCAGGACCTTGTGGATATGAGGCAAGCACTCTACCAACTGAGCTATATCCCCAGCTCCCAGTATGAGCTTTTGGGACGAAGATCCTAGTGCACAACTTTAGCTTGAAGACTTAATAACTTTTTCATTTATGAAACTCTCATATTGTGGGGAAACCATAGAGTCATTTGTTGGTGTCCTTCTAGAAAATCAAATGTCTGGGCAGCATGATTACATCATTTTGTGATACATAAATAACCCATTGTGAGTTTTCTTTGGATTATGGTTAAGCTACCCAACTGAGTAGCTTACAGTTAGCCATATGAACTAGGTCATCTTTTTTGTCCTATATTATTCTCTCTGTATTGGGGAATACTTAGAATGCTGGAAAAAAGAAGATTTTGACTTGTATTTTCCAGTGACTGACAGAATAAACACCTTTGGTTTAGACTTGTTGATCACTTTCATGTTATCATACATACCAAAAACTTCTGCCAGGTGTTACCTACGGTAGATAAGATTCAAAAAGACAAAATATTATGTTGAAAAAAAATTACTTCTCAGGAATCTGGACAGGTAATTTTAGGGAGAAAATTTTATTACAGGTGTTATTTCTACCTTAAACACTGATAAGAAGCCTCCTTTCCTAATAAGCAAAGTCACTGCAGCTTCTTGTACCATTTGTCATTACAACTTTTTTCAAAGAACCAGCACAGAGGAAGTAATGAGGCTGCCTGCAATTGTTTCCTACCCTGTTCTTCTATCATGTAGGGGAGTTGGTATAGGAGGATGAATTATTTGTGCTTTTCATGCTCATACCTAAATGTCGGCAGTGGATTAGAAAGATGTAGGGCCTGCCTACTAACTAGGAATACAAAAATACAAAAATGAAAAGACAAGCAATACTGAACTGACACAAAATGCCTTAGAGCACCATGATATTTAAAATGCAGTACAAAACCTTTCTTCAATTACTGACAGTTGTTAAGATGGAATACTCACTAATTAAAAACTATTTTTTAAAAATCACATAATAGATAATAGACAAAATTTTAGAAGAGGAGAAAAATGACTTAGTTTATGCAATGTCTTTTAAAATAAATGAAATTTTTAACAAAAACTGAAAAGAAAAACAGGGAAATTAATCCAAAGCAAATATATAGTTTATATGCTTAATATATAAAGGACTTATACAAAAGTAAAATTAAAACCTCAAGAGGTAAGTAAGTAAAGGACATGATGATCTCACTTAAAGACAGACTCAAAATAGGTGGCCAGCTTAAGTTAACCATGAAAAGTCCAATACATAATAAATGTAACCTTTGCTTCTGCAGAGTACAAAGAAAAATCTGCCAACATCCATTGTTTTTGTTAATGCACCAAAATGGTTTATCTTACATTTGTACAGGTAGAAAATACGTGACAAGAGCTACAAAATTATTCTTAAACTTTGGTTTATCAAATCATTTTGGGTAATTTTTATCTAAAATTCTAAATCACAAGAGAAAGCTACATACACAAAAAAATGCTCATCATAATTTCATGTATAATGGAGAACAACTAAAAAGCAACAATGGATACATCATGCAAACAATTCACAGGTTCACGTATGTTGTACAACCACTACAAACTATGATTTTTTAATAGAATATGGCAACAGGAAACTACGTGTATGATAAATGAAAAGCCCATGATAAAAATTATTTAATCTACTACTATGAATTTTTAAGTTACACATTCAAAAAGAGACAAGGAGGCTAGAGTTGTGGCTCTGCGGTAGAGCACTTGCGTAAAATGTGTGAGGCATTGGGTTTTATTCTCAACACAGCATATAAATAAATCAATAAAATAAAGGTCCATCAACATCTAAAAAAATTTTTAAAAAAGAGACAAAATATTTTCCTTTTATTATATTTTAGAATATAACATAATATATTTTAGGCACATTCTTTATTTCTGTTTTTTGGGTACTAGGGTTTGAACCCAGGGATGCTTCATAAATGAGTTACATTCCCAACTTTTTTATTTTTTTCTTTGAGACAGGTCTCACTAAATTTCTGAAGCTGGCTTAGAATGTGTGATATTCCACCTCAGCCCTCTGAGTTTCTGGAATTAGAGTCATGCATCACCACACCAAACCCTTCTTAATTTTTATAAAAATATAAATTATAACAATGTTATGAGTAATGTATAAATAATACATTATAATAACAATAATTACTTTATAAAATTATAAGCCCTAAGGGAAGCCAAATATATGAACTATCTATATATGAACTATGATGAATTTTGAATGAAAGAAGTGTGAATTAACAAGACCTCATGTATTTGGGAATTCTTTAAGTGCTGAAGATGTTATAAAAGATACTCAAGATCCTACCTACCATGTATTTGTTACTTTAGATATATTTTTCTCTAATTTCTCAGAATTTCTAAATGCCAATGCCAGGACTTGGGTTCAGATCAGTTTTACTCTAAAATATACACTCTTTTTTTTTGTATATAAAGGTCTTCTCTTCACAGTATAGCTAATGATTACTCAAGTTTACAAAGTTTATTAGAGTAAAATGTACTCTTTAATTAAAGTCAGATTATTTAGTCGAATCTGAATGCCTACCTCTCTTAAGACTGACTTAAAATGTGATCTCCCTGTTTTCTGAGACCATGCTTTTCCAGAAGGTCCATACCGAATCTGATTCCTCTTATTCATGACGTCAGCTTTCAGCTTTGGTGGTTCCCCTTCCATAACAAACACCAGTTTTACATCCATTTGTGTTAAATATGAGATACGAAAAAATAAGTTCCTGAGATACATAAATTAGTAATATATTAACCATAAATGTGTAATGACAGTGTAAGTCAAAATTGTATGAACACAAAGGCAAAACCACTAAGACTAGTACCAAAAATATTAAGTGCAATAACATTTTCATTACTAAGAGTTAGTTTACATGTAGTGGAGAAAACTGAATGTTTTTATGTGAGGGAGATTAACTACTATTCTCATTGTTATGTGAAAAATGATTAGGAGGAGACCAAGAGCAGAGGAAGGGAAACGAGTGAAGGTGTTATTTCAGCTGTACAGATGAGAGAATTTGGCATGAACTGAAGTGGTGTATATGGACACTGAGCGAAGTTTGTGAAAACAAAACATATTTTAAAATAGAACTGTCAAGACTTATTCATGCACTGATGTGAGAGGTAAGATGGGGAGATAATGGTTCCCCAAATTCTGGCTTTTAGCAACTGATACATCCTACAGTATAGATTACGTGGGAGATAGATGTGAGTCTGAAGCTCAAAAAATAAGAGGTACAAATCTGTGAGTCATTAGTATAAAAATGGCATATTTAGAACTACTATATTTTAAAATCTCAAAAATCATCAGTATAAAAATGGCAGATTTAGATATGCTAAATATATTTTAAATTCTTAAAATATAAAAGAACAACAAAAAATTAAGTTTAAATAAAGCCAAGATACCAAGAAGACACTTTATACAAATATACATTCACACTTAAGAACTCTGATTTTACCTGAGGTGTGGCTTCATGACGGTTCCAATCATTTTTTTGACCGACTGGGCCTCACACACCCAGAGACTCAAATCAACTGCAATGGTTTTCCCACTAAGACTCTGCAAGTCGATGTGTTGCTTAACAGGCTCCAAAATTTGCCACAAGTCATTCACTCCCATTCTGTTGATTATCTACTGTTATTTGAAATATATTTTACAAAAAAATTTGTTAAAGGAAACAGAAGTTCAGAACATAAATTCAAACAGTATATTTTGAGTGAGTTCTGGAAAATGTGTAGAAGATTATTTTCATTTCTTTCACTTGTCAGCCTCAGCCTTTTATGAATTAAGAACACCCCAAACATTACAAATATTTAAAAGTTGTTTTAACTATCTTTGTTCTAGCTAATAACAGAAGCTTACAAATGAAGAGATGGGAATAAAATGCAGAGATCCTGTAAAAAGAGGATGGGACCAGTCCTCTATCAAAATGAAAAACAAACAAAAAGAAAAAAGGAAGCAAGTGTGGAAAAAGATAACAACAGAAGGACAGAAAAACCAAAGGGGGTTAATGAAAGAAAATTTTGGTGGAAAATGGGGGGAGAACAAACAAGATGGAGAGTTGGAGGAATATGGAGTTATCTTTTTAAAAACTGCACTCCCCCCCCCCCCCCCAGTACTGGGGACTAAATTCAGCTGTGTTCTACCACTGAACTACCCATCCAGTCCTTTTTATTTTGGACAGGTTCTCACTAAGTTGAAGGTTGGCCTCAAACTTGCAATCCTGCCTCAGCCTCCCAAATTGCTGGGATAACAGGCATGTGACACATGCCCAGCTAAAGGATAATATCTTTTAAATTGCATGGTGATACATGTTTATTGAGGAGAATTGAAAACTTAAAAGTTTAAATCACCTATAGTTCTACTATTCAAAGTAAATAATGCTGAACAACTTTCCACGTATAGTATAGGACATTTTAAAAACAAAATTGTTTTAACCTCTAATGTTCTTCTGTGCTTTGTTGTTTTTTATAGGCCAACCTTTCCTTTTTAAACACATTTTTCTTTTCCTTTGTTATTATCTGATGAAGATATTATATAGCACTCACAATGAGGATTAAGTCTGACTCTGCAAATTCAATCCAGATTATTATCTTCCCTCCAGAAAAAAAAAAAAAAAGGGAGAAGGCAAAAACACATAAGTCTAAAGGTCAGACTTCACCTGTATGTGGAAACTTTGTGAATAAAGATCACTGTATTATCTTTAACAGAGTGCATCTTAAAAGTAGATTTTCTCAAATTGCTCATGGGTGCAAAGAAAATAAATATTGTTAAGTGTTGCTATCAGTAACTTAGCCTGTTTTTCCGCATCTTTATTTTATGATGTGGCCATATTACCACTGAGTATTAGCCTGTGCATTCATATTCATGAAAAGTGCACAAATATATGCAGATTTGTCAATTTACAAAGAAAAATATACAGAAACACAAAAAAGCATTTAGTAGTTAATGATGATCTAATGCTAATATTCTCTACATCAAAGAGCTCCACTGGTCATAGACATTCTACTGTGACATAGATTCAGAGTTAATTGGGAAAATTTCAGGAAAGAATGGGGACTAATATATTTTTTAAAGTATTATGATGAAGTGAAATAATACTTTCAAAGTACTAACCATCAGAACACATAAAACTAAGAAAGTCTGAGGGGGAAATTCTTGCTGATAAATTCTGTTATCATTTTTGATTCACATTGAATACTGGAATATACTGGCTCTGAAGGAAATGGTAATTCCTTCATAAAGCAATGTTATCATAAGTGATCCTATTTCTTTTAAATGTGATCTTGATTCTAGAAGTCAAAATGTCAATGCAAGTTATCTTCTGATTTAGCCATACCTCTCTACATATCTACTTTAAGATATGCTTAGATGTATACAGAATTATATACAGCAATATTCACTGTAGTACTGCTCATAAAAATGACAGAATTACATTGGTTTCCAGAAAGTAAAATTTGAGCTACTATCTGTGCTAAAAAGTGTTCTCTTCTCCATTTTCCCTTAGTTATTTGACATTTTCTAGAAAAATGTCTTTCATTGTCACTCTTCCTGATTACTATGTTCTTTAATCCATCTCAAAGCCTTTAAACCACTTTGGTTCCTTATCCCACAGTTTCCATGTATCTACAGAAATGGATTTGAAAATTTCTAAAGCCCATTTCTTTCATAAGCAAAGAATTCCTATGGAATATGCCAGTTTTTCACTTTTTTCTCTAAATGATAGGAATCAAGGAGACATTTTTAAAGAAGCTAACTTCTTTATATGACTGACCCATTCCAATAAATCCTTTTTTTCCCTTAGAAGTTTATCACTAGTGAATTTCTATTGGATCTTCTTGATTTATTGTAAGATTTAATAGCATTCACTACTTTCAACTAAAAACTATAGATTAGGACCATGCCAAGGAACAATATCTAAAGGATTGGGGGTTGGACAAAAATTAGAACTTTTCTTTAACGTTTTCATCTTCTCTAATATAATCCCACATCCTCTGACATGTCCCCTGAGCTCCTGACTAACCTCTAATTGCCTACTTGTTCACATGGATGCATAGATCTAGATTCCACCATAAGTTTGTCTCCATACAACTGTATGCCTTCTGACTAGTCTCTCTGCTTCCATTTTTCACTATCCTCTATGCCCACACAATCCTTCTTCTCACATTAGCTAGACTGATCCTGATTAAAAACCTAAATCATCATCTTTCTGGCAACGAACAGTGACTTTCCTCATGAGTAAGACTTTGCGTCACAAGTTAATTTTCTTCATTTAATGGTGGCTATCTTTAGACAGTTATAAAATGCAAAAGGGATTAATGTAAAACTACACGAGTACTAACTTAATACATTTTTAAAAAACACTATTTTAGAATTAGCTTCAAAATATCTACAACTGAAGTTTAAAAATACATGATCTTTTTAAAGACCATTCATAAAAGTAGGATATTAAAAGAACATTTCAATTTTGAAAGGGAAAAATGGCATGAAATTTATTTAAAAGTACACCTTGTTTTAAGCAGTTAATCCAAAATTTCTATCATCTATTGTTTCTACTCATCACATGTTCTCTTTATCAGTCATTTCTCCCAAGTGACATTAAATAGCAATGATCAAGAAACTAAAAAAGCATATAAAATTCCAAAAAGAGACAGGAAGCAACAGCTTTTAAGATACTGAACTACACTAAAGAAACCGATGGTTCTTGTAGGAGGTGATAATCAACACAAGGTTACTTAAAAGTAGATCAGTATCAAGTAAAATTTAAAATTACTACATCTTGATCCATTAAAAACTGTGTAATTTTTCCATGCTTTTTATTTTTTAATTGGATAAAATTTGAAATTTTTGTGGTGTGGGATTTGGTGAGTGTCTACTTAAAACTTTCACTTTGTAATAACTTGATTGATGCCAACCTGACCATACAGTGCATACTACAAAAATGAGCCTTCTAACATATTTATAGTTCTTAGGAACAGGTGTGATACAAAAATAAGCGAACCAAGAAAGTTAGAATGATAATATAGCAAATAACTTTATAACCTACTAATGGCTTCACTTTATTTAGCTTACCTTGTGTGTATCAAAATCAGAACACTCAGCAAACAGCTACACATCTTACGAATCTCTTCAATTTATTTAGTTTAGTGAAAAGAGCACTGAACTTGGAATACAAAAAGCCTAGGATTTTGGCCTTGGAGATACCACAATTACTTGTATGACCTTGGAAAGACATTTAGTTTTTCTCCAAAATGAGAGTTATTCAACTAGATTAATTTCATGTTTCTAATATCCTTTGAATCTCATAACCAATTTTGGTAGCTTGGAATAAAAATTATTCTACTTCAGAAATTATTGTTTGGTAAAGCATAAACTTTTACTTAAATAAAGGGATTAAGAATCCACTTCAGTTAAAACAAAAACCAACCCTTTGATGTAACCATATGGTACCAATAAATCAATTTATGCTCCTAAAACTTCCTTAAAAGCTAATGTTTTTATTGGTTAATTATAAAACTGAATGAGGTGAGAAATACACAGTACCTTGCTAATTCTATTAATGAACCAAATTTAAAGACAAAAAGAAGTCAGTGGTCTGATTTATGCAAAAATATGCATTTTATTAAAGCAAGTTTTCTAATTTATTTCAACTTGATGCAAAAAATTAGAAAGTTTAACAAAAAAGCAGCAGGGAATAATTCCTCAAATCCATTCAAATGACTATATTTTCACAAAAAAATTATTAAATGGCTTAAACTTTATTTCAGCGCAAGATTGTGTTGTATGGGACTTACCATATTTCACTAATGCTCATTTTTAAAATTTTTTTTCACCTTTTTTATGAAGAAAAAGCCAAGCTTTAAGGCTTACTCTAACTCAGATTTGTTATCAACAAAAATTTAATGTATCCACTATTTACCAGGAATGCTTCTGGGTGGCATAGATACAACTTTAACTTCAGGTTCTGCATTAAGCATTTAATGATCTTGGTAGAGCGAGACAGCAGACAAAAAGGGCAATATCACAATGTGACCAGTACAGGCACAGAGGTAAGGCGAGCAAGCCATTTGTGTCTATAGGAAATAGGTGCCCTACCTAGTCCTGGACATCACGGTTTCCTGAAGAAAGTGACACCTAAGCAGGGGATTCCATGAATGTTTCACATGAGTTACCAACCAGGACCGATTTGTCCCCACATTTTAGTTTGTTGATTATACGATACTTTTCATTGATCCATGGCAAAGGCCACAACACATATTTACTTTCACAAGTACAAGGTTCTTTGGAAACCGGAGGTTGGACATCAGATGGGGACGGGCAAATGCCATCTTTTTCCCCATCTGGAAGGAAAGATTTTGGGTGTTGCAAAGTAGGTTACTTGTTTAGGTCTGCGTATTCACGGGGAAGGTGTCATACTGAAGGGGTGGATAAGCTTAGGGTTGAGAAGTGAGCGGAAAGCTAAGCCAAGGAAACCATGGGTGCCTTATCTGTTGACGTGATTTACACTCCAGGGGGCGCGGGGGTGGGGGACTGTACCCACACAACCCCAATGCCCTGTGTGAATCCTATAGAATTATTTTCAAGATAACGTAGGAGAACAAGCGTGCATTATAGGCAGGCGGGTAGTCTCGCCCACAGAGAGCCTTGAACTCCTTGGAGGCAGGAGGAGGGCACAGGGGACCCAGCAGCTCGGTGGCGCGGGCCCAGAGCCCCCTCGCCGGCACAAAGTAAAGGCAGGATCGCGCTTGGGGGCTCGGCTCGCGCCTTCCACCTCCTTCAAGGCGCGCCGCAGAAGGCGTTTTGGAGGAGGCGCGGCTCCGGACCCATATTTTCAAAAGAGCCGGAGAAAGAATCAGGTCAGCCTCTCCTCAGTCCCAAGGGACTTACCCGGACAACCCTTCCACCTGGGTTCTGGAAGAAGCCCTTCGTCATTTACCAGGTTGGATCCAAGCCTAACTACGGCGGCTTCCACCTTTCTGATTTTCTCAAAGGGAAAAACACAAAGTCTTCATTCGTTTCCAAAGTAAACAGCAGCGCAGCGGCCCGCGGAAAGCCCCAGCGAGCACTTTCGAATTCAGCGCCTCGCCCGCCGGCCCGCCTCTTCCGGAAAATGGCTAGTCCCTCCCCAGGGCCCGAGTCGCCCGGGGCGGCTTCTTCCTGCCCTTAGCCGGCTCGCGGACGCATGCGTGGACCTGCGGCGTGCGGCACCCAGCTATCTTCTTTTTCTTTCAGGCAAACCTCCCGCTGCGCCGCTGCCGCCGCTTCTGCCTTCGAGTGGCGCGTGCCGACCAGCTTCCTCCGCCCGCCCGCTTATACTTCCGGCCCTCTCCCCTTGGACTCAAGTGGCGCGAAACGCCCAAAGCGCGCAGGCGCGGGAGGAGTCCTAGGGGGTGGTGGGCGGGCGCAGGCGCGGACCGTCCCGCGGTGGGCGCCGGGGCGGCGGAGCGACTGTCTTCTCCCGCGGCCGGCGCGCGGTTTTCGGCGGCCCAACAGCGGCCAGCCGAGGCCGCGGCGCTCTCACTGTGGCATTCGCGCACAGTCGCGCCGCGACAACCCCGGTGGTTGGGTCCCTTTGAGAGATTTCGACTTGTTGGAGGTAGGGTACGGGCGCGCGCTTCTCCGTTCCTGGCTCCGGGACCCGTCCCCCGCCCCTGGCCCCTCGGTGGGCCCCCGGTCCACGGGGGCACCGCGAGGCCGCAGTGTCCCGGGCCGCTCCGGGGGCGCAGACGGCGCCGGCGACCCCCTGCGCGCAGTGGATTGTGGCGCCCTGTCCTCAGGGCGCAGGTCGCCGCCGCGGGAAACTTGGCTGTCTGCGCCGGGCCCGCCCTCCGCGTCCCCGGGCGGCCGGGCGTCGGCGGTCACGGGTGAGGTCCCGCAGGGAACTGGACTCGCGCCTCGAATTCGTGGGACCCCGCAGGCTGCAGCTTGAGTGTGTTTAAAGGACGTGAGCAAGCTTCGCGGCTGCAGGAGCTGCCGTTGATGCCCGGTCTCGTGGAAAACGCCGGGTGTATCCCAGTGAAATTGTGGTGTTGGAAGGTTTTGTGGTGGCATTTCTTTTTCCTTAATGTCTTGTGGGATTTAAATAGAAAAGAATCCCGGTTGGGAATTGCAGAAAACAAGACCTGAGGGTACAGGAAGGGCTGTCGGAGTTTTAGGGCTTGAGATGATTCTGTGATGATTTCTAGAAAGAGCAACTGTTTGATACTTAAAGCCTGAAAACAGAAGTTGTGTGAGTTTTTTTTTTTTTTTTTATGTAATTCTGGGTATATTTAAAGTAGGAGATTAAGAGCCACTGTTAAAGGACAAGCTATTTCGCAAGGTGTAGTCAAAAGAAATAGACGGCCGCTGTGTAGCTTTAATAATGGACAGTAGCATGTGCAGAATGGTCTGCAGAGAGTTCCAAGGAGGTGGGAGGGAACATATTAGAACTTTTACTTAGATTTACTCTATTTCATTCTCTTACTATGTGAAGTGTACAGACTAACATAATTGTGTTATTATGAGTTTTGGAATGCATATTCAGAATTTCTTTTGATGAGTGAGTGCAAGTACAAAATTTTGGAGACGACTGGTATATTGCTTAAAAATATGTTTTTGTTTGAGACAAACAGTTGTGTGACTTTGAGCAGATCAATACCACCTTAAGTTTCAGTTTGTAACTCAATTCTTAAATATGGGGAGAGGGGTGGGAGAAAAACAGTGAAAGTTGTATTTACATATGGGGGAGAAACAACTTTATATATGGTTATCTATTATTAGTATAAAAACATTTAGTATTGACTCTGGCAAAAAGTAATTTCAAACGGAATGTTAAAATTGTTACAGTAAAAAGTAAGTTTTAGTCCTCAGAAGTTTATTTTACTGAGTGCCTAGTCTGTGGAATTTTATGTAAAACTTGACTAAACCTTGACTGGTTTTTAAAAGAAAGTTTTAAAATCAAAGATGCACTTGGCTACCTGGGGATGTAGCTCATGGGTTGTGTTTGCCTAGCATGTCTGAGGTTCTAGGTTTAATCTACAGCACATTGCCCCCCCCCCCCCCCCAATCTGCTCACAAGTACTTGACTATCAGGAATTAACAAGTAACTCAAAATTTTACCATAAAAGCATATTTAGGATGGCATCAAATGCCACAGTTTTGTGTACACAAACCCTGAAGTTCAGCTAGCAGAGGGTCAAGAATAGTTACTTTGTCTATATTAATGTTCACATTTTTGATTGACTACTTGAATGAATTACATCTTTTCTCAGCATGCTTTCCTTCCTCACCAAATTCAGGCTACTTTCTATAGTTTCTTCCGTACACTCCCAAATCCACCTGCTGAATATATTTTATGACCTGCAGAACTCTCAATATCCTAGGAGCTCTTCGAACTCCGTTTTCAAACAAAACAAATCTATTGTTTATGCTCCCTCCTTGACAAACCTTCTATCTACTTATAATGGTTTTTAGCATTAAATGAGAAGATGAAAGACAAACTGAAATCTTATAAAGCAAGCCCAAAATTTGATTCACTTTAATTAGAACATGATTGGCACATCATAATGAAATTATTTTGGTAGTTTTAATGAAGGATAAACAAGTAGATAAAGAACAGATTAATAGTGTTTCATTGCCTGTGAATAAGCTGTCAAACTCTTGTTTATTCTAGTAAGGAACTTGCCATTGAAGAGATTGGACTTCAGGTTTGACAAACCTGGATTTGGACCTCTGCTAAGTTTTAGCTATATGTTAACCTTTTATGAGTTAGTTAAGTTGTAGCTACTTAAGTTCAGGTCTTTTGTTTGAATCTTAACTTCCCCTTTTGTTTATTCTAGTAAGGAACTTGTCATTGAAGAGATTGGACTTCAGGTTTGACAAACCTGGATTTGGACCTCTGCTAAGTTTAGCTATATGTTAACCTTTTATGAGTTGTAACTATGTTGTAGCTACTTAAGTTCAGGTCTTTTGTTTGAATCTTAACTTCCCCTTTTGTAAAAATAAGAGCAATATTTATAAGAATGTAAAAAGTTAAATAGATAAAGTATCTCAAAAACTGAGGCGTAGTTATTCAACAAATGTTAATTCTACTCATCTGGAATTATAACCAGTTTTCTAAATCTTTTGGTTGCATCTCCTTTCATCCTGATACTGGCCAAAGTTTTTGTTCAGCCGCTTATGATAATATTAGAAAGTAGTCTCTTCTCACTGTTATTCTCACTAAATCTAGTTATTTTTACTGTTCCTCTGTCCCATATTGAGACCATAGGGATATTTCCAAAATACAAATCTGAGTATTTACATTTTTATTACCTAAAATGTGGACAGTACTTCCCAGTTTTGCTGATCTTGCATTTTTGGTGAATGGACTTAACAAAGTTTTACAGTTGCATACTTATTTATTATCTAGTGAATCTCATATTCCAAACAATATACTTACTTAATTCTTTACATTAAAGATGAGATTATGAGGCTGATGATGTGTAGCTCAAGATTAGAGTGTTTGCCTAGCATGAACAAGGTTCTGGGTTCAATCCCCAGCAACACACACACACACACACACACAAACGTGAGGTTGTTTAGTATAGAATGAATGTGTCTTTTGTGGTGGGAAGAGTGGAATTGGGGATAAGGTAAACACAAGCTGGGGCAGATTCAAAAATAGTAGTAACTTGTCTTTAATAAAAATTTGATAATTCTGTCTGGTGCAGTGGTGCATGCCTGTAATCCCAGTGACTCAGGAGGATTTCAAGTGTGAGGCCAACCTCAGCAATTTATTGAGGTGCTAAGCAATTTAGCGAGACCCTGTCTCAAAATAAAAAATAAAAAGATCTGGGTATGTAGCTCAGTTGTAAAGCACCCCCAGGTTCAATCCCCAGTACAAAACAAAACTCCCAATAATTCTAAATCTCCTTACAGAACTAGACAGAAACTAAAATTAGAAAGTTAGATTTTTATAACTCTTAAAAATTCAAGTGATAGCTTTCAAATTTCTTATGTATCTACATGTTATAATAAACCTTTAGTTATTGATTTTTGTTTTGAACTTATTTTTTAATCAATCTTCAGTGTCTCTACTTTGGTGGTACTTGCTTCCTGTAAAGGAGAAATAATGTGCCCCTTAATTCAGATTTTTTTTAATTGTAAGTGTAAATAAATACTTAAAATGAGCTTTATCTACATATTGAAAATCCCCAGAGGAGCTTTTTTCTTTTTTGAGTGTATATTTTAGGATTTTCTTTTCAGTTATGTTTCTTTATCCCATTGGGAACAATTTTACAATTTTAACCTCTATCTAACTCTCAGAACATCAGGATGTTCATATCTGTTTTTGAAAATCCATCATTATTAAATTACGAAGTGATCCCTATTTTAAAAGGAAGGATCCTCAGTGTCTGTTAGATTTCAAGTTACCTTGGCAACCTAACTGCAAACTGCAAATCCCAGTTTATGCCCAGCAAATAAAAACATACCTCATGGGGGTGGGGGGATGCTGAGGTTGTGGCTCTGTAGTAGAGCGCTCGCTTAGCCCTTGCAGGGTGCTGGGTTCAATCCTCAGCACCACATAAAAATAAAATGAAGGTATTATGTCCAACTACAACTAAAACAACAACAGCAACTAAAAAAAAATTGTCACGTAGTGTTTGTATGATCTTCCATATGGTATGGATTCTCACATTTATTATAAGAAGTTTCATCATACTTAACCTAGTACATCTCTCTCCTTCGATTTGGCTTGCAAAACCACTGTTCTCTAATGATAAAATACTAAAATCAGTCAACTGATGTCAGATAATATATTAAATGTTATTAAAAACTATCTAAATGTTGGGAAAATCAAAAAGTAATGGTATCTTTTTGTTGTTCTGTAATAAATAAATTACTGTTCAGTGTTTGAAAAGGGAGTAGAGAATGGGCAAGAGAAAAGAAAGTGTTGCTAAGAATAATAATCTGGTAGTATTTTGAGAAATGTAAATTAGCAAGAAGTTGAAGCTAATGTACATTGATTCTTATTATTAAATAACTTGAAAAATATGTTTGATTTTTGAAATTTTGGCTTCTATGAGAGATTCAAAATAAATTATCTGCAAAGAATGATGCTGAGTATTATATAGATGTGGCTTTAATGGTAATTTTGTCTCAAAAATTTTGTTTGGGTTGTGTGTGTTTAATTGGCATTTGATTCATTATAATGTATTAGGTTTTTACATTGCCTTCAAAATAGAATAAAGCCCAGGTTCTTACACATGATTACTCACAGTCCTTCTCAAACTTTATAAAAATGTTCTATATAAACCACCTAAAGTCTTTTGAAGATTCTGATTCACTTGCTTTAGGGTGGGGCCTGAGATTTTGGTTATCTACCCAGTTCCCAGGAAGCATCTGGATGATGCTTGTTGGTCGTTGGATCACTCTCTGCAATATCAAGACTGCAGGTCTTTCTGTGATCCCTTTTATCCCAACCACTCTTAACTTTATTGCTTTCTAGCTATACTTTATCATATATGGCACTATAACATGGATTTACCTGTAGTATCCTCTGCAGCAGCAATTTGCAAAATATGGTGCAGCGATCCATGGAAACTCTTTCCTGAGGTCTACAGAGTCAAAAATATTTTCATAATAATGGTAAAGCATCATTTGTCTTTTTCACTCTCATTTACTTTGGAGTGTATTCTGGAGGTTTCCAGAGGTAATATAACATGCGATGGATGCCATTGCTTTGGCTGATAGAATGTGTACTTTTGTGTTCTTTGTTGTATAGGTTTCTCAGTTGTAATTTCTAATATGATAAATGTTGATAGATCTAAATAAAAACCCTTTAAGGTCTTTAGTACCTTTTAGGAGATCATAGCCTTTGTCATCCTAGGTATTGGGCCACAGAGAAAGAGTCAGATCTAGAACTTAACCAGAACTATTTCCTTAGCTGGTTGACTTGTAGGCTAGGGTAGCATTCCCCCTATGGTCCCCAATGAAACTGCAGTGAGGATGGTTTCGCCACATCTGTGCAAGTCCTACTTTTTCACTAGGCCTCTTCTAACAGCAGTCAACAGGAAGAAGAGTAAACAGTACCTTGTTATTGCCTGCTATCTGTGGAAGTCTAGACCCTTTAAATGGTCTCTTACACCATTATCCTGGCCCCCCAATTTGTCTGCTTGCTTGCTCTGCTTATCCTTCTCTGACTCTATGTCCCTTGGGGTGCAGAGATGCTGCTTTTTATTTAGCATTTCAAGGATCAGAGTTCAGGCTTGAGCTTTGCTGACATCAGTGGAGAGGGAGCCTTGTCTTTTTCAGTGGTATCTGACAGGAGTAAGGCGGTTTTTGCCTAAGAGTGTTCTGTCTTATTACACTATCCTTTTTATTGAGAAAGGGTAAAGAGGACCAGCTTTTGTTTAGGGCTTTTTTTTTTTTTTTCCTGGCACCTGTACATGTTTCCCGGTTAGTAATCCCTCAAAGTCTGGGATATTTAAGGCATGACACAAGCTCAGAACTCACTGCTGTGTTGTTCTTGGGTCCCTGGTCTAGATATATGCTTTCTTTTCATCTTTCAGAACGTTCTTAAGTTTGTTTTATATATTAACATTCAAAGTTTTTAATTGCATTTAGTAGGAAAAAAAAGAAAAACCTCTATTTTATATTCCTGAAAGCGGAAGTCTCCAGTTGCTTTTTAAAATTGTGCTTTGGAAGGAGAATTTAGAGATTAAACTTGAGCACCAGCATATCCCTTATATTTAGTTGTATAAAAATATGTGAATTATCATTAAACATCTCCTTAAAGAAAAGTTTGATAACACAAAGAACTAGTTTAGAGAAAAAATGTTCAAGACAGCTCTCAAACAGTAAAATTTGCATGAAGTAGTGACTACAGATGAGAATTTTATAAGATGTAAGGTAAGTAATAATTTTGAGTCTTTGTTATCAATGTTTTAAAAATCAAATTATAAAATAGCAGTTCAGGAGGATATTGTGAACCTGTAAAAACCAAAATACAAGAAAAAAATTGGAATGATTTCATAAAATTAGCTTTAAAAAGGCCTTCACTATTGAATAAGCTTACGTGAAGTTCTTTCTCATTTTCTTAAAACATTAAAATGTGATGCATTAGAAGACAATATAGAGCTTGAAAAAGAGGGACAAGCTACCCATTTTGCTTAATGAAGCATTCATTATCATAGTGTCAAGACTTGACAAAGGTAATTCTCCAAAACAGGTACTCCAAAATATGTATACATCTTTGTTATTTCTGCAGAATTGAGTCTGTCATTATATAACTTTGAAAAGTAGTGGACTAAAAAGTGAAATAAACACTGCATAGGAATGTCTTTTGCTTCTTCTTCTCTCTCTTGCATTCTCCCTCCAGAATCTCCTGTTTCTTCATATCTACTTTGTGTTCTTTTTGTAATGCCACTCTAGGAGCCCCCTTCCTTCCCAGCAAATTTGTACCCTTTTAAGACTGGGTTTCTTGGTCTATCATTAAATACAGCTATCATCTCTTAGTGAGGACTGACTAGAATTTTTCAGACCAAATGCATGAGAGAGAAAATTTTACTTAGTTTACTGTTGCTGGGGGTGAGAAGGAAGTCAAGTACATGGTACAGGCAAGACTGCTGTGGTCTAGTATTGGACGACCAAAATGAATTGATCCTAGAACCATTCCTCTTATTCTTTTATTACATCTTAAGAGATTTTTGATTATACATATTGTTTTTTTTCCTCTATTTACTCAGCAAACAACAATTATTACGTGCTTATCATCTTAAGTCTTTAAAGAGACTTAATTATAAAGAGAAAAATGAGAGTAATAGAGTAGTAATAAAGTTTAATTTCAGTCACAGACTATCAGCTTGGATTAGCTGGTCACTTCATATTTTCAGCAAAAATCTTGTATTTATTTAAAAACATTAATTTTTTAGGTTTACATTTTATAGTGTATTGACAAAGAAGAGAACCAAAATGGACTACTTAGGTAATGGTTAAGGAAACTTCTAATGCTGCGCAACATTGCTTTAAAATAAGCTTCTTTGGGAAAATAGTATAAAAATCAAAAGTTTTATCTGATTTGCTATTACTCTATAACTTGTTAAGAATTGGATGTTTGCTCTGGAATAATTTAAGAAGGACTATGCCATCCCCATTTTCTACATAGCAGATGTAGAAAACCAGAAACTGTAGTTTCACAAATAAAATGTTTTTACCTTTTGTAAGTTAAGAGTAAAAACGTTCAGATGGGCATATGTTGATAAAATCTTGCCATAAGTAATTCTGTAGTAACATTCTAATGGAGAGGATGCAAGTAATGGTTTTTAAGGCACCAGAAATTTATTGTCTCACCCATCTGGAGATCATAAGTCCCACTCAGGGTTTTTCAGGCTATAAGTGTCAGCAGAGCTGTGTTTCTTTCTGGACGCTATACAGGAAAATGTTTCCTGCCTTTTCCAGCTTTTCTTTTTTTGATTCAGTGACCCCTTTCCTCCACATAAAGTATGGAAGACTTTAATGTACTTAATTTTAAAAGTAAAATGGGTGGATATAATACTTAAAATTTAGTAAGCTTTGTGTATTTATTTTAAGTTTAGTGTTTATCAATCACATGGATGCTGTACTTGATTTATCTCATTGTTACTATGAATATTTGTTCAGACCTGATGGCCAAAAGAAAGGAAGAAAATTTCTTCTCTCCTGAAAATGCCAAAAGACCAAGACAAGAAGAACTGGAGGATTTTGATAAAGATGGTGATGAAGATGAATGTACAGTTTCTTTCACTAATGGTACCTCTACTTTGGTAAGTGCAAAATTATAAAATTATGTTTTTTTTTGTGGGGGTTTACCAGGGATTGGAATTCGGGGACATTCAACCACTGAGCCACATTCCCACTTTATTTTGTATTTTATTTAGAGACAGAGTCTTATGAGTTTTTTAGCACCTCACTTTTGCTGAGGCTGGCTTTGAACTCCTGATCCTCCTGTCTCAGCCTCCCAAGCTGCTGGGATTACAAGGCTTGTGCCACCACCCCCAGCTTAAATTGTTTTTTTAAGTTTGTTATTAGAAAAATTAATAGAGAAAATATTGAAACAAGATGAATAAAATTAACAAACTTCATTAGATCAACAAAAGAAAAAAGATATAAATTACCAATATCAGGGATGGAATAGGGCTTATGACTGCAGGTCCTGTAGACATGAAAAGGATTGAAAGAATAAGCAAATAACTTTTTTTTTATAACAGTTTTAATATACAATTCTATATATGTAAATATGAAAATTTAGGTAAAGTGGACTAGTTTCTTGGAAAGGAAAAACGACGACAACCCAGCTGATGTAGAAGAGATAATTTGCATAATATTTATTTCGAAACTTTAATTCATATTTTAATATCCTACTTAAGCAAAGAAATCTCCATGCTCAGTTGGTTTCACTCAAGAATTGTAGCAAATATGTTAGGTAGGAATTAACATGGATTCTGCATATTCTTTTCAAGAACGCAGAAGAGAAGGCAACACTTCACTTCATTATCTTGATACCAAAACCAGACAAAGAAGAACTAAAAAACAAAAGCAAGAACAAAAAAAACAACATATGCATTTACCTCATGTATATGGATGCAGAAATCTTTAACAATTACTAGAAAATAGAACTTAACAGTAAATATGAAAAATACATTATGAAATACATTCTAAGCATGCAAGCCTGGATCAGTATCTGAAAATCAGTCCTTGTGATTCAGCATATTATAGATTAAAGAAGACAAAGCATATGATCAAAGCAGTGGATGGGGCCAAAAGTGTTTGACATAATTTGACATTCCTAATGCATGATTAAAACTTAGAAAAACAGGGATAGAAGGAAGTTACTTAACGTCATAAGTAGTCATGAGAGAAAAAGTTGCAGCTAACAACATACTTATTGGTGAAACATTGAATGCTGAAGATCAGCAGTAAAACAGGAGTATCAGGGTTAGGGGTTGTAGCTTAGTGGTAGGGCACTTGCCTGGCATGTATGAGGCACTGGGTTCAAATAAATAAAGGTTAAAAAAAAAGAGTACATATTTAAGAGAAAAAAAGAGTATCTGTTTTCATCACTTTTATTCAACATTGTGCTGGGAGATTTATACAGTGCCTGATAAAGCAAGAAAAGGAAACAAGATATGGAAGTTGGAGAGGAGAAAAATAATATAAATAACACTGTCCCTATGACTGTCTACATAGATAATCTCAAGGAATTTACAAAAAGAAAAAAAAGAGATTAGAACTAATAAGCTCATTCAACAAAATTAGAAGGTGCATATTTTCAAAAATTGTATTTTTATATATAGTAGCATTGAATACATGGTTATTGAAATTCAAAATACAATATCATTTGAAGTCACTTAAAAAGAAAAAAGAAATCTTTTGGGGAAATGCAAATTAAAATGAGGTACCAATGTATACATTTTGGAATGATGAAAATTTGGACTACTACCACCGCCCCAAATGCTGACAAGAACATAAGAGCAACAGGAGCTTTCCTTCATTGCTTGGGAATGCAAAATAGTAGAGCCACTTTGGAAAACAGTTTGGCAGTTTTTACAAAATAAATATGCCTTTATTATACAATCCAGTTATCATACACCCTAGTATTTACCCAGAGGAGTTGAAAACTGATATCCACACAAAAACATGCTCACAGTTTTTTGTAGAAAATTTATTGATAATTGCCAAAACGTGGAAGTAAAGAAGATGGCCTTCAGAAGATGAGTGGATCAGTAAGCCATACTACATTCAGGTGGTTGAGTAATTTTTAACACTAAAAACAAATGAGCAATCAAGCCAAGAAAAGACATGGAGGAAATGAAAATGCATATTTCAACTTAAAAGAAGCCAATCTGGCAAGGCTGCATACTATATGATTAACTTTCCATTCTGGAAAAGGCAGAACAAAAGGTATGTGGTTGCTGGGGGTTAAGAGAAGGATGAGAGCACAGAGGATATTTAGAGCAGGGAAAACACTTCTATGATACTATAATTGTCAGTACATATAATGTTTCCAAACTCAAAGAATATACAACACCAAGAATGAACCCTGATGTAAACTATGAAATGGAGTGATCGAGATTTGTGAGTGTAGGTTTATTAACTGTAACAAATGTACCGATGGAGTGGAAAATGTTGATAATGGGGGAAGCTATGCATGTCCAGGGGAAGGGACATGTGGGAAATCGCTGTATCTTTCTCTCAGTTTTACTGTGTTTCTAGAACTGCTCTAAAAATTGTCTTTAATAATGAATATGTGGGTCTAAAGCTAATGTTTTAGTCATCTTTTTCACCACTGAGACTAAAAGAGTCAACCAGAACAATTATAGAGGGGGAAAAATTTATTTGGGGGTTCAGAGTTTCAGAGGTCTCAATCCACAGACACTAGGCTCCATTCCTCAGGACTTAAGGTGAAGCAGGACATCATGGCAGAAGAATGTGGCAGAGGGAAGCAGCTCACATGATGATCAGTAAGGAGAGAGAGAGAGATCTCTACTTGCCAGATATAGTTATATACCCCAAAGCTATGCCTCCAATGTTCTACCTCCTCCAGTCACACGCTACCCACCTTCAATTACCACTCACCACTCAATTAATCCCATCAGGGGATTATTCCACTGGTTAGGTTAAGGCTCTCACAACCCAATCCTTTCCCCTCTCTCATTGACTCATGTGAGCTTTTGGGGGACGCCTCACATCCAAACCGTAACAGCAAATATAATATGTATAGGACTTAAGTGACAAAAACTATGCAGTGCTGATGAAATCAAAGATTTAAGTAAACAGACATATTTATAGGTTGGAAGGCTCAATATAGACAAATATCAGTTCTTTCCCAAAATTATATACAAGTTTAATGCAGTTCCTATCAAAATCCCAACAAGGGTTTTTGTAGATGTAGACAAGTTTATTTTTTAAGTTTTATGTGAAAGGTCAAAGGAACTAGAGAAATGATTTTGAAAAAGAATGAAGTGGAATGATCAGTCTGCTCACTCTCAAGACACTATGTAGCTTAAGATCATGTGGTGTTGGTATTGGGAAAGACACATTAATCATTGGAACAGAAGAGGATCTATTCTAAACAGAGAAATAGACCAATGCAAATCATGGTGAATTTATTTTACATAAAGATGCAAAAGCAGTTCGATGGAAGGGAAGGTACAGTAACAACTGTACTGTAGCAGTTGTACATTGATAAAAATTAGCATCAGAGGGTAGTAGATGTAAATACAAACATGAAACTATAAAATTTTTAGAAATAAACTGTGGGAGAACTCTTTGGGATATGGACAACGTAAAGTTCTTAGAGACTTAATGCCAGCTGTATGAACCATAAAATAAAAACAATGTGTTGAACAGATTCCCCCCACCAACAAAATTTATCTGACCAAATAAATAAATATGACAATATTAACTTTGTGATAAAATTATTATATTCTTTAAAAATTCTATAATTAATGGTGGCTCAAAAGATTCACATTTAATTTCGTCTTTTTTTATTGACATTACCATTATTCACTTCTACTAGCTTTTTTCATTGATAATACTGCTGGTCTTTCAACAAAAGTTTGAATGATTATAATGAGTGAATTAGACTTTTTTCCCCCCTTTTTAAATTAATAGACTGCAGCAGAAGTTGGAATAATTGAGAGTATTCATCTAAGAAACTTCATGTGCCATTCAATGCTTGGACCCTTTAAATTTGGTTCTAATGTCAACTTTGTTGTTGGCAACAATGGAAGTAAGTGCTTTTACCCTCCTCTTTTGACTGAATAGTACTTTGAGAATGCATTCACTTTTTGAAACTGATAACTCTTACTACTGATAAATATTTGTTTATGGGTCTTTAACTTGTGGTTATGAATATTCTTAGTAGATACTGTCATTCTACACTTTAAGAATATATTGAGTTAATTTTAAATACATTATTTAAGCAGTAGGACTAAATATTTCTTTTTTTTTCCTGAGATGAGTCTCTCACTATGTCCAGGCCTGTTTGGAACTCCTGGGTTTAAGGGATCCTCCTACTTCAGTCTCCTGAGTAGCTGGGATTTAATGCATGTGGGCCACTGCACCCAACAGTTTCCTGCATATTTTAAAAATCTCTTTACCTTGAAATCAGCACCATAGAAGAGTGGACAAGCTATCCTCAATGAAATTGAGGCAGCCTTGTATCTTACCTTGTCTAAATATTATAAGAGCATAAAGAAGTGCTTTGGGAATCTAAACATGAAAAAATAATTCTTACTTTTGTAACCAATGAAAACTTTTATGTGGCAGTGGTATATGTATGTGCTGGTTCTTGAATGAAAATTATAGATTCTTTATGTCTCATTTGGGAAGAAGAAATGTTCCAGGCAAAGATTGCTCATCCTCAGATGTTTGGAGGAATAGCTAAGATGTGTATGGGGAATGGTGAATAACCTTATATGGTGGTATGTATAGTGAGTATCAAAAGCTGGTTCTGACATGTAGAGTATGCTAAAAAGGATCTTGAATGTCACAATTAAGATTTTGGAGTTTTTCAGATGTTAGAGCCAGTTAAACTTTGAGTAAAGGAATGACACAGCCACGAATTTTGAGACAAACTGGCCACATTGTGGAGGATAGATTAGAAATGGGGAAACATAGGAGACAGAAAGACCACTTACTTTGGCAGCTCTTGTGTTAGGCCAGCAAGGTGCCAGGTGTTGATAGCTCCACCAAAATAGTGCGTAAGGAGAGGAGGCATGCCATAGTCTACAACCTGGGGACAGTGCTGGCTGGCATAGGAGATGACATGTGTAGCTCCAATGTCTGTTTTGTTCTTTTTTCTCTCTTCTCCAGTTAGTCAAGAAGTCACTGGTTTTTAGTTTTTAGGTTTTTTTTTAATGTTTATTTTTTAGTTATAGGTGGGCACAATATATTTATTTATTTTTTTACTTTTATGTGGTGCTGAGGATCGAACCCAGTTCCTCATGCATGCTAGGTGAGCGCTCTACCACTGAGCCACCGCCCCAGCCCGAAGTCAGTGGTTTTTAGGAAGAGGGCATGGGCAGAGAAAGGGAGCAGTGCTACAGAGATCACATGAGACAAGAAATAAAGATTCCTGGGTTCTGCACTTAGGTGTTTTTTTTTTTTTTTTTTTTTTTTTTTTTTAACCTTTGGAACAATTATTTTATTAAACATAATAGAAAGGTGAAATAATGCAAGTGGTAGAGGTAGTACATTTGGTAATAAGAGAAAAGGAAGCAAGAGAGAGTTAGAATAGGAACTTAAAAGTCATTCCAGGAAGTAAATTAGATTAATCATTGGTATATATGTTGGCTAATTTTGGGTATAGCTTTGTTGATCATGGAGTTCAGAAAAGATTGCCATATTCTGAGTAATTTTTAGAGATTTTGAAATTGGAGCTTTTGATATTTTGTATCTGTTAGGATAGAAGTAAGACTTTTCAGAAAGCTAGAAAATGAATATTCAAGTTGGGAATAATATCAAAATGTTATATAAAAACATCTTTATGGTTTTGCTAGGTTTTTTTTTCCTATTTAATAAGTCCATTCATTCATTCATTCAACAGATTTGTGGGTAATCTATTTTGTGCTGAAACTGAGGGTACAACATTTTTTTTATTTTTTAAATTTTATTTACATTTAAGTTTTCGGCAGACACAACATCTTTGTTTGTATGCGGTGCTGAGGATCGAACCCGGGATGCACGCATTCCAGGCGAGCGTGGCTACCGCTTGAGCCACATCCCCAGCCCCCTGAGGGTACAACATTGAATGAAAGAGACAATTCCTGTACATATGGAACTTATATTTGAAAGATGTTAAAATAGTTTTGATGTCTGAGAATTTGTGGAAAAAGCAATAATTTTACTTAAAATGTAGTTAAAGTTACATAAAGCATATTTATTTAAGTAGAGGGATAAGTTCATGTACAGGGCTGATGAGCCAAGACAATATAGTGAGTTTCAGATTGGAAAGGTATCATAGTTATTCTTTGTGCTTCCTTATTAGTGACAGAAACTTAATTCCTGAAATAAACTAAGTTTTTCTTAATAGTAGCAGCTAAATATTTCATGATTTTTACAAATCTTTTTAAAGTTTGCTGCTTTGATACTGGAAGAAAATTAAGATTGAATTATAACATTTCTGAATGAGACTAATTCATTTTGTAGTCTTGTATCAATTTGTAGAAGTCAACTTTTAATGAATGTGATTTCTTCAACACCTGTTTCTTTAGGTGGAAAGAGTGCGGTACTCACAGCTCTTATAGTTGGTCTTGGTGGAAAAGCAGTCGCTACTAATAGAGGATCCTCTTTAAAAGGATTTGTGAAAGATGGACAGAAGTAAGTGTTTGTTTTCTTTGTGTTTTCATTCCTTCAGTAAGAAAGAGCTGCTTTTGATTCCCAGTTCATGTAGACATGGATGGGCATAAAGTGCCTTCCCAGAATGGGAACAGAGGTTCCATATCTTCATTCCTTTCTCTTCCCCTTTTGCCAACGTGGCCCACTGTTGCCTGTTGTCTTCAGGTTTCAGATAGTTTGTGTAACTTCCTGCCATTTGCCTGTCCTCCTACAGTCATGCTTCTGTTACCTCTTTGGAAGCAGTAGCAATGATAGATCTATGTATTCTGCTAATAAAGGGATATTTATAAACATTACACCTTCCTGGCTATAGAGCCAACCCCCAGCATCAGCAAGGCCATGTTAATATGATAGGGGTGAGAGCAAAGTCAGTGACTGGTCAAGTGTTTCTGCACGAAGTTTCTATCTAGCTTTTTAAGACTTTCTGGGAAGTATTCTACTCTGATTCTGCTTTTATTTCCTTTGTCCAGTGAGTTTGATTTGAGGACATTAATCACCATAAGTCTCTTTGTAGATTTGTCCAGACCCATACACAGTGGTCATATCACAGTAATGACTGTCTTTTTGTTTTATGTTCATATTACTTTTTGTCATGTATTACCCTTGTAGTATATAACCATATATTATGTCAGGTTTGTATCATTATGCACTTGTTGCCTTTTGCCACTAGCAGCTGTCTCTCCAGGGTGATCTCTTTATTCTCTTTCATACTACCCCAGAAATCTCTGAGGGAATTCTTATTTCTCATAACAGTTAAAATGTCCCAAACTGTTATGTTCTCGTCTAGCCTGAGGCTCTTCATTTTTCTCTCATGCACTCGATACCCAGAACTTTGGAAGCTTTGATAATTAACACTGATATCTTTTTGTCCTGTATTAGATTTTCCTTCTCTTTGTTGTTGGTATGGATTTAAATTCTTATTTTATTACTCAAAAATAAAATGAGTATAGGATATGAATCTGGATTGCCAGCTTTTGTATGCTCAAAAGCCTTAGAGGAATCTTAACTTTAAGCTAGGATTCCAAATTGATGAAAGAGAATAAAAGATATACAAAAAAATCATTTCCCATGTTATGTGGCCTTGAAGAGAACTATTTGATGTCAATTCTCTAATATAGTTTCTTCCATTTCCACTTACCTTATTTGGGTCCCAGCCCAATAAAGTCTTCTGATTTCCTCCTCCCTCTAAATAAAATCATGTCTGAAGTAAAAAATTCATTATTTTTTAACCCTTTTAAGTAAATGGTCCCAACTCTTTAATTATACTTAACTTGGTTTCTTAGGTGTCCAGTCACCTCATTTACTTAGCCAGATAATAGGTGACTCTTTTAAATAAAAGTTTCAGGAAGAAATGATGTTTTTATGTATCGTTCAATGTTTTATGTCTCAAATACTTCAGATTTTAGTTTTTCCTTTGGTAAGTACTTGGATTAAAGCAGAAACTTCTTACTGAGAGCTGTCCTGAATACTATTTTAAAAAATACATAAACTAGCTTACACAAATTATTGGCTTTAAAGGACATGACTGCCTGTAGTGGGGAACATTAATATTTGAAAACAGACTTAATAACAGCAAAAAATCTTTAACCTGAGCTTAGTCTTCTTTTTACTGACTTTATCTTAAAATGGAACTAAAAGCAGAGCTTTTCCAAACCCATTTCTGTTCTTTTTAATCATCCTTTCTTTGAAATGTTTGGTATCTGTAAAAGTTCCTTTGCTTAATAGACTCTGATTCTGTCATCACTGTTTTGGAGAATGGACTAATTGAGATTCTCAACTCTGTGCATATTTCTGTGTTCCACATCTAGAGCCTCTGCAGCTGTCCGTGTTGCCTGGAGCTTGTCAGTCTGGCACAAGCTTGAGGTTGTCCTGAAGACTCTCCCTCCATCTCAAACACTGTGCCCCTTCCAGGCTGTAGGCTCCCTTTTCATGGGTATTTTAATTCTTCTAGGAGATACTTGGTTAACATGGTTAGGAGATGCCAGAGAATTCTGCTTAGAGACACTTCCTGGAATTCAGTCCTCTGATTGTCCACCAACCTTTTGCAGTGGTTTGGGGTCAGTGAATGAATTCTCCTAATGTACTTTGTCACATGAAAATGTCTCTATGTGTAACAAGGCCTTAAGTCACTTGCTTGAATATGTTCAGTTCCTTCTTTCCACTCTCAGCCTTTCTAATACTAGCTTCACTAGCCCTGGGATATTTGCAGTTGTTATGTTTTTTTTTCTTTTTTTTTTAATTTTTTATTGTGGGTTGTTCAAAACATTACAAATTTCTTGACATATCATATTCCACACTTTGATTCAAGTGGGTTATGAACTCCCACCTTCACCCCATACACAGATTGCAGAATCACATCAGTTACACATCCATTGATTTACATATTGCCATACTAGTGTCTGTTGTGCTCCGCTGCCTTTCCCATCCTCCACCCTCCCCCCTCCCCACCTCTCCCCTCCCCTCCCCTCCTCTCTCTCTACCTCCTCCACTGTATAACCCTGAGGGTCTCCTTCCATTACCATGCAATTTCCCTTCTCTCTCCCTTTCCCTCCCACCTCTCATCCCTGTTAAATGTTAATCTTCTCCTGCTCTTCGTCCCTACTCTGATCTTAGTTACTCTCCTTATATCAAAGAAGACATTTGGCATTTGTTTTTTAGGGATTGGCTAGCTTCACTTAGCATAATCTGCTCTAATGCCATCCATTTCCCTGTAAATTCTATGATTTTGTCATTTTTTAATGCAGAGTAATACTCCATTGTGTATAAATGCCACATTTTTTTTATCCATTCATCTATTGAAGGGCATCTAGGTTGGTTCCACAGTCTTGCTATTGTGAACTGTGCTGCTATGAACATCGATGTAGCAGTGTCCCTGTAGCATGCTCTTTTTAGGTCTTTAGGGAATAGACCGAGAAGGGGAATAGCTGGGTCAAATGGTGGCTCCATTCCCAGCTTTCCAAGAAATCTCCATACTGCTTTCCAAATTGGCTGCACCAATTTGCAGTCCCACCAGCAATGAAGAAGTGTACCCTTTTCCCCACATCCTCGCCAGCACTTGTTGTTGTTTGACTTCCTAATGGCTGCCAATCTTACTGGAGTGAGATGGTATCTTAGGGTGGTTTTGATTTGCATTTCTCTGACAGCTAGAGATGGTGAGCATTTTTTCATGTACTTGTTGATTGACTGTATGTCCTCCTCTGAGAAGTGTCTGTTCAGGTCCTTGGCCCATTTGTTGATTGGGTTGTTTGTTCTCTTATTGTCTAATTTTTTGAGTTCTTTGTATACTCTGGATATTAGGGCTCTATCTGAAGTGTGAGGAGTAAAGATTTGTTCCCAGGGTGTAGGCTCCCTATTTACCTCTCTTATTGTTTCTTTTGCTGAGAAAAAACTTTTTAGTTTGAGTAAGTCCCATTTGTTGATTCTAGTTATTAACTTTTGTGCTATGGGTGTCCTATTGAGGAATTTGGAGCCCGACCCCACCGACTGTAGATCGTAGCCAACTTTTTCTTCTATCAGACGGCGCGTCTCTGATTTGATATCAAGCTCCTTGATCCATTTTGAATTAACTTTTGTGCATGGCGAGAGAAAGGGATTCAGTTTCATTTTGTTGCATATGGATTTCCAGTTTTCCCAGCACCATTTGTTGAAGATGCTATCCTTCCTCCATTGCATGCTTTTAGCCCTTTTATCAAATATAAGATAGTTGTAGTTTTGTGGATTGGTTTCTGTGTCCTCTATTCTGTACCATTGGTCCACCCGCCTGTTTTGGTACCAGTACCATGCTGTTTTTGTTACTATTGCTCTGTAGTATAGTTTGAAGTCTGGTATCGCTATACCGCCTGATTCACACTTCCTGCTTAGCATTGTTTTTGCTATTCTGGGTCTTTTATTTTTCCATATGAATTTCATGATTGCTTTCTCTATTTCTACAAGAAATGCCGTTGGGATTTTGATTGGCATTGCATTAAACCTATAGAGAACTTTTGGTAATATCGCCATTTTGATGATGTTAGTTCTGCCTATCCATGAACAGGGTATATTTTTCCATCTTCTAAGATCTTCTTCTATTTCTCTCTTTAGGGTTCTGTAGTTTTCATTGTATAAGTCTTTCACCTCTTTTGTTAGGTTGATTCCCAAGTATTTTATTTTTTTTGAAGATATTGTGAATGGAGTGGTTGTCCTCACTTCCATTTCAGAGGATTTGTCGCTGATATACAGGAATGCCTTTGATTTATGCGTGTTGATTTTATATCCTGCCACTTTGCTGAATTCATTTATTAGCTCTAATAGTTTCTTTGTAGAGCCTTTTGGGTCTGCTAGGTATAGAATCATATCATCTGCAAATAGTGATAATTTAAGTTCTTCTTTTCCTATTTTTATGCCTTTAATTTCTTTCGTCTGTCTAATTGCTCTGGCCAGTGTTTCGAGAACTATGTTGAAGAGAAGTGGAGAGAGAGGGCATCCCTGTCTTGTTCCAGATTTTAGAGGGAATGCCTTCAGTTTTTCTCCATTGAGAATGATGCTAGCCTGAGGCTTAGCATAGATTGCTTTTACAATATTGAGGTATGTTCCTGTTATCCCTAGTTTTTCTAGAGTTTTGAACATAAAGGGATGCTGTACTTTGTCGAATGCTTTTTCCGCATCTATCGAGATGATCATATGGTTCTTATTTTTAAGTCTATTGATGTGGTGAATAACATTTATTGATTTCCGTATATTGAACCAGCCTTGCATCCCAGGGATGAATCCTACTTGATCATGGTGTACAATTTTTTTGATATGTTCTTGTATCCGATTCACCAGAATTTTATTTTGAGGATTTTTGCATCTAGGTTCATTAGAGATATTGGTCTGTAGTTTTCTTTTTTTGAAGTGTCTTTGTCTGGTTTAGGTATCAGGGTGATGTTGGCCTCATAGAATGAATTTGGAAGTTCTCCCTCCTTTTCTATTTCCTGAAGTAGCTTGAAAAGTATTGGTATTAG